AAGGAAGCTGATCCAATTCCCTGCTTCCTGCAGGACACAGATCTGCATTTCCTCTGCACTTTGATGAAACAGCAGCCAAGCTGTCCGCCTCCATTAACAGCCCCTCTGATTTTACACCGCGCTCTGACAACTCAACGTGTGTGTGACTCCGCTCCAGTGTGTGTCTATGGGTGCATATAATAAATATGTTGAAATGCAGATGCCTGTGGTGTGCATTTGGGGGATGTGTATGTTTACACTGCTTTAGAGCTCAAAGCTTCTGGTATCATGACCCGGGCAGCCTGTGGTTATTTTTGGAGGATCTGGACCGCCAAAAAATATTGGAAAAAACAAAAATAATTCATGCGCCAGTAAATACGAGTAAATATTTGAATTACAGCTGGAGATGTGCTGCATAAGTCTCCCTGATGTAGAGAATAAATTCACTAAAACAGCACGGATGGTCAAAGAGGAATAAGAAGTGATGTTTGGGGAAAATGGCGGTAAAATCTGGTAATTTACAAAGACGTTTATCATCATGTTACATGCAGTAACATAAAAGTGAGCACTAATTCTTCACAGACTACAACATGTTCAAACAGGCTTCATCAAAGCTGCTTCGATGTCAGGAATCAAGGCGCCGTTTTTCAGCTGTTTTTAACCACCTTTACTGTAGTTAGAGGCTTAAAGTCGCAGCACGCCGCAGCTCTGAGAGCTATGTGTATTTGTTTTCAAATCAGGCTGCTCAGACATGTCAGTCATGAAAAGAAATGCTTTTGACGTGATTTGCATCCAAAACGCTTCGGGGTATGGGAGTCCTGAGAGTTCGCTACTCCAACCTAAGAAATGAATAAAAAGAGTAAAACAGACGAGGAAGAATCTTTAAGGACAATGTCAATCTGAGTATTTAGAGGGGAAAAGAAAAAATGAGATGCTTGAGAAATACATGACGAACAGGGTTTAAGCTAGCATCTCTACCCTGTTAATGTGGTTAAGATGTAGTTACCAAACACGACCCTGTAGCCACAAATAATCCTCAGAACAGCACCTAACTTCATCTACAGTAGGGTTCCAGCCACAGCACTAGCCACCAAACATCTTTTTAGCTTTGCCTAATATCTTTGACAAAGAGACTAAACACAACTCACCTACTCTCTTCCAGCAGCCGCTTGCAGTGGGGTGACGTAGCTCAAGGAAGAACATTTATGATCATTTCTTTATCATTTCCTTGAAGTAATAATCACTATAATAATCATTTTGCACTGCTAACACGGAAGTTCTTCTGTCTTAGTGTCTCGGTCTGATTGCACTTCCATAAAGAAATGATCATAAATGTTCTTCCTTGAGCTGCGTCACCCCGCTGCAGTCGATGGACTCGCCCGGAGGTCTCCATGCAAACAAGCGGCTGCTGGAAGAGAGATGTTGAGTTGGTTGGGGTTGTGGCTTTCTGTACTGTTATCTGCGTTCGTTACTAAAGGTGGTCTAACTAGAGAAGCAAACGATCTATAACATTCATAACTCAGTGTTACGGTGTGTTTGACCTTAACTTAATTTTACGCAGGAATATCCCTTTTTGCCTCTTTTCTAAAAGGCTTCTTCAGTTCCCAGAAGGATGCACCGAATCCAGCCTCCACCACCCAGAAAAGTTTGTTTTAAAGGAGTCTTCGAAATGGGACACCCTGCAGCATCTAAACTGGGACGCGACTAAAGTTTGTCAACCACTCAGAGGCTGTGTCTATGATCAGCTGACTTTAAAAGGCCCAATCAAAAGCCATGATTTCCTGTCTCAACGGAACATTCAAGGTAACGAAATATCCCGTTAAAGACCTACTTTTTTTTACACTCAGGGAAACTAATCAATGAGAGAATCAATAAAGAAATGGCTTAATAAGAAAAATTGACAGTGGCTTGAATGTTAATAAAATCTTATCTTACCATAAACTCTAATCCGGATACTCTCTCATATCTTGACAGGTTCATCTGCCCACTTGTAGATTTTTCAAAGTAAAGTCCACATGAGATGCTGCCCAGTCTGACGTCAGCGGACCGGACAGTTATGTTTTCAGGTATATTGTTTTTCTTCTTCTTCTTCACCTTTTTCTCAGTTTTGACAAAACCTGCGGGGAGAAGAAACAGTCACAGTGAGACGTCGCAGATCCAGTTTACAGCAGTCAAAGATTAAAGCGTCTATCTTATAAATACCGTCAGAGCTGTGGCAGCAGGAGACTCTGTACTAAAAGAAAAGGAGGCAGTGTTTATGTCATGTGCTGTCACCTTTTTAATACACGTGTTTTAAGACAGAGACAAGGACAGTGTAGTGTAAACCAGCGCCAGTGTGTTTTTCAGGTCACATCCTTTAACATCCTGTGAGTACAAACATGGCTGCTGGCTCAAAAGCTGAACTCAAGGGTCCCTCTAAATGCCAGGCAGGCCCGTCGTCACGGTGATGCAGAACAACGATCCACACAGCTTGAAGGGCAGGAGTGAAAAAAACAAAAAAAAAAATGAATATTTTTACTCTACCTCCACGATGACGTGTACACGCAGGATGGTTAAGTACGATAAATTGGACCGAAATTGGCCAATGAGTTCAGACGCTCTTGTAATGTGGCGTAAATTGCGTGCCCTTTCAGGCAGGGGAACAAACCTCCTCAATGTCAGCGCTCTCTCCCACATGTTGAGTGCTTAGTTTGCCATGCAGTACAAGATCTCCGTTCCTGTTTAGTATTCACCCACTTGAGTTTCCTAAAGGTTACCAAACCTAATTAGACATTTATGCAGGATCTTCAAAGGTCCCCCCGTTATTAATGATGTGCTACTTCTGAGGACTGCATCGATGGCTTTTTTTCTGACTCGGAGAGCACGCTCCTCACAATATGCGCATACACAATGGAGACACGCAGACATCAAAAATGCAGCAGGAGGCTGGTGGCTGGCTGGTTGTGATTACTAAGAGTGCTTGCATAGCGCAGAACACTGAAGTGCACAGACACACACTCACAGTGCACACATTGTATTGTCATGCTGTGTGCAAAAACAGGGTCAAATACAACACAGACAGGCTGATCGACATGAGCCAAATATAACACAGAAGGGTTACAAAACTCAGAGTGGAAAGGTCCCTTCAAAATAAAAGCAGGGAGTCCTGTGCATTTGTGCAATGTTAGGTTGTTTGCACTTAAAAGGATAACGGTAAAAAGACTTTGATGGTTGTGTAATAATTAAAGCTCCCATAAGGAACTTTTGACACCTACCCTCTCGCACCACAAAAAATGACAAAACACAAATCTTATGGATTTCATGAAAAGTCGTCAAAATGAATTACAGTCTATTTTAAATATTAAAGAAACTCTTCATAGGAGCCTAATTTCTTTATTATTAAGTTAATTGTCCCAAAATGGTCAGAAAAAATTATCTTAAAGGGATATTCCGGCAAAAAATGTATTTGGGGTCAAACACACCGTAACACCGACTGAGTCAGACACCCTGTCGAGAGATGAATGTTGCCGACCGCTTGCTTCTCTAGTTATACCAACTTTAGTAACGACCGCACGATAGCAATACACAGCGGTCTGAGGAGCCATAAACAAACCTCAACCAAAACGCCACTCTATAGCCACAAATAATACTCAGAACAGCACCTAACTTCATCAACAGTACATATAGGGTCCTAGCCACAGTACTAGCCATCAAACATCTTTTTAGCTTTGCCTGATTTCTTTAGCAAAGAGACTATACACAACTCAACCTCTCTCTTCCAGCAGTTGTTTGTTTGTATGGAGACATCCGGGCGAGTCCATTACATTACATTACTGCTGCGGGGTGACGCAGCTCAAGGAAGAACATTTATGATTATTTCTTCATGGAAATGCAATCAGACCGAGATGCTAAGACAGAAGAACTACCGTGTCTGCAGTGCAAAATGGTTAATATGATGATTATTACTTCAAGGAAATGATAAAGAAATGATCATAAATGTTCTTCCTTGAGCTGCGTAACCCCACTGTAGTCGTGATGGACTGGCCCAAGGTCTCGCTACAAACAAGCGGCTGCTGGAAGAGAGTGGGTGGGTTGTGTTTAGTCTCTTTGCTAAAGAAATTCGGCAAAGTTGAAAAGGTGATTGGTGTCTGGTTCTGTGGCTGGGACTCTATATCTACTGTTGATGAAGTTGCAGTTCTGAATATTATTTGTGGCTGTAGAGTGGCGTTTTGGTTGAGGTTAGTTTATGGCTCCTCAGACCACTGTGTATTGCTATCCTCCAGTCGTTAGTAAAGTTGATATAACTAGAGGGCGTCTAACTGGGTGTTACGATGTGTTTGACCCTAAATTAATTTTACGCCGGAATATATGAAGCTAGTGTGTAAGCTTAAAGTGTCCTGTCAAAAACAAGGCAGATCTCAGGTTAAGATTGACATATGCAGATCCTGTGAGGATTTTTTCTTTCTCATTATGAAACAGACAAAAAATGAGAGTGGTACCTCTTTAAGACCTAAAAAATTAAGCAAGCTCATCATAATAAGAAATCAGAATTTTTACGTAATATTATAATAAGTATCTGGAATCACTGCCAGGGGGTTGGTGTCGGACAAATCTTGCTGAATCAAAGATCAGAATCCAATTTGCGTCCAGCCCCCTTTTTCATGTCCTTGATGAGTAAATAAGTCCACCTTCCTGTGACACTTTCATATTTACATCATGGAGAACTCATTACTCCCAATTCCACAATGATCATGCACCACTCTATTTGTGCTTGACTTTTAGCACCAGTGTTGGTGTTTTGGTTGTTCTGTGTGATGAGTCTTATTTGCATAGAAATAGGTATATTTGCTCCAGATGAGTGTATAATAGATCATTGAGATGTATGCAAACAACACTGACACACAGAGATGCTATTTAATCTGCATGAGGCCCTTTGTGCGTGCTCTGTGAACTAGTCAGTGTCTTATTGATGCATCTGCACAGGTGAGTCTGCAGTCAAGGCCTACCTCTAATACAGGCCTGCTTCATGTTAACCCCTGGTACCTTTGGGGAGTAAAAGCAGATAAAGACCACAGTTTATATTTGAGGTTTTACAGGAAATTACTACGTACAAAATAAATCTGAGTGAGTTAGAAAGTTGGTCCACAGACAAACACACACAAAAGCTTTTTTTATAGAGGAAGTGAAAAATTCCTGTCTGAAACCGACAATAGGAAGAGTTTAAAAAAGCCTAACGTTGGAAGTTTATGAGCAATTGCTCAATTTTCTAGTTCGCCTCTTTCTATACCTGCATGCAAATCTAATCATTCATCTACGATGTACGGATAATTGACAAATCTAATTATTCCAGTCTGATCTGAAATGTTTATCTTTTGTATAAAGTGCACAGACTAATTCAGCTGCGTGCACTGCAAATTGACTAATTGGTCGTCGTTCAACCAAAATAAAACCCACTCAGGTTTAAAAAAAAAAAGACAAACACACTCACTGAGTTTGAATTCCTGAAAGAGCCACAGAAAGACTGAAGCAGGACCCCGTCCCTGTCCTCTCCTTAAGGTCTGAATTTAACAAACACCTCCACTTTCTCTTTGCCCGTAAACATGAGGAGATAAATCTGATTGGCTCATTACTTCAGGATCGTGCAGCCATGTTTACATGAAGTCTGTGCACGGTGAAAGGTAAATGTAGCCGACATGATACCCTAAATAAAACTCAGTTCCATTCATTATTTACATTCGGACTTTAATCAATTATGAATGACAGCTAATTAGTGTTGAGCAGAGGCCATCGCTCTCCGCGGTGTCAGAGTCAACTTGAAGTACTGTATGTCACGGAGTGTGGACATTGACGAAAAACCTCTCAGCTCAGTACAGATTCGGGTGTCTCTCAGCTGAGGAGACGTCACTAATCATCTGTGAAAGTGCGTGGCTGCGAGTGCGGGCGCGGACACGTGCGTATGTGCGTGTGCGCGCGCTCGATAATAATAAGGCAAGTGAAAATGAAGAGGAGCTAAACTGTGTAAGTCATTTCTCATTTCCTTGCTTCGGTGCCTGTCAGAAGAAAAGCCCTCCGTTTTGAATGATGGCGCAGACAACAAAAAGTGAACAACAAACCCTGTGGCAGTGGGGAGAGAAATGGAGGGAGGAAAAGTAAGACAGGAGGAAAGAAAGTAAGAAAGAAAGATACTCGCGAGCTGGCTAACACTGACAAATACTCTGTTTTTTAAAAATGACCAAAGCAGCAAACAAACAAAGCCAGATCCTGATATCTGCGCCGTGATAACACCACTGGACATGCCCTGAAAGTGAAACATAATAGAGGAAAAAAACGCCCCTACAGTTGGCACTGGTAGAGTTTTGGAAGGACCTTTCAAGGGGCTGATTTAATGTGTGAGCATCAATCCTTTAGCAGCAGCGGGCCTTGACAGCAAGTGAAAGTAATCTCTTCTTTATTAATGGGACTTTTCACTTTGGACCTGAGGCCTTTTGGTATTCCATAATAGTCGTGTGGAAGCACAGACCTAAGGAAAGAACAATATGAAATCAGATCAAGTGGATGTGTTAGGTATGATAAGTGGAAAGTATTCTTTTTGGAATTTAGCACTGTCCTTCGAGAAGAAAAAAGATGAGAGTGTGTTTGAATCCAATGAAAAAGTCTCACGGCGCGATGTGGAGAGGGAAAAGCGTACCGCCGATGACTCATAACAAAAGAAAACACATTATTTAGTCGATCCAGGTCAAATTAGTGGTAATTTAATTTGTGTATTGTGTCACTTTGACTAATTCAATAATTGTACCTCTGACTGCGTTCAAGGGCTTTGCCTTCTGCAGCACTGTCCTTGAAAAGCAATAAAATACAACATTAAAAACCAGCAGATTTCATTCATTATGACTCTTTTCCTTAGATCTATACCACAATCTGGACAAAGTGATGAAAACATGATTTCACCAGGGTGTGAGGTACGAGGTTAAAAGCTTTTCTGTTTTGACCCTTGACTCTCTTTTCTCTCTCTTCTTCAGTTCTTCCCTCACAGCTGGAGCCCAGTGAGGAACATTTTCAGGTGTTGGAGAGACTCCTTTTCTTTGCACAGTGATAATGGACTGACCTTCCTCTCGCTAAATACTCTAGTAAAGAATCTCCTCACAGTTTCAGCTTAGTTTTACAAGCAGGAGACACTCTCTGACAACCTCTGAACTCAGGCTGTCACAGTACACCAATCCTGATGGTAGCCGTGTTTAGAAATAATGAAATATGTAAACAGGGGTGAGATTGAAGTAACTGGGGGGATGTGGGTTTTTAATAAAAGGACAGAGTGTTTTTTTGGTAACATGTCCATGTCTCTCATGAAGCGCAGGTACATGTAATCGAGCTGTAATCTGAGTTTGATGCTGCGTTCCAGTTACCTTGGAAGTCGGAAATGGGAATGAAGTTACACCCGAGTTGACGGCATTTCAGTTAACAAGTTGGAAAACCAAGATGGATACCTATAGTTACCCGTTGTTAGCCGTTGTTTACAATTGTCAGCTGTGGTCAGCCGTTGTCAGCTGTTGTAAGCGGTTGTTAGTTACTCTTTACTGTTGATGCACTCTGCTGCCATCTTGAATTATGACGTTGTCGTCAGGTCGGGGTTGGCAAGGATCGTTCGACTTTCCGAGTCGGAAATCCGACTTCAGGGGGGCCTTCCAGATGAATTTCCGACTCGGAGCTCGAGTCTTCTGAGTACAACTGGAATGCAGCATGAGACTTCAGTCTCTAAAAGTGTTCTGTTAAATCCTGGGAATTCATATTTTTGTAAATTTATAAATTAAATGAAGTAAATGTATCCCTTTTATCTAGTAAACTCATACATTTTGATGACATTTTAGTTTAAACACTTGGTTCTCGTAAATTTACATTTGTTTGTCTGATAAATATACAGCTTTATCTTGTAAAATGACACTTTTTCTGGTAACACTTTATGAACCCACTTCTTATAATACGTCAGTAAGGCTTTATATCAACCCTTATTAGTGGTTATATGAGTTTAATTTCTCCGCTGAAGGATGAATAAAGCAATATCTAACCTAATCTAAACTAAACATTCACATCTTGTAGTAATGTTTATCAGGTGTTATAAGCAGCTAGCATCGAAAAAAAGCATCTTTTAAACTCTGCACCTCATAACTCTCACAGCTTAACCCAGTTATAAAAGTTCATAAAGAACTCATTCTGTGTATAATGAGCTAAAAGAAAAAGATTAAATATTAATTACAGGGCAGTATGTCCTTTGATTAAACGATTTGTACTTAAATGCAGCTTAATTCAGATAGGTAAACTGAGAGGATATCACCATATTTTCAGTTAATACTAACCCATTTTAAACCAAAACTCTAAAATAATTGGTAAACAAAACCCAAATATTCATACTTTAAAAAAAAAAAAAAACTTTGTGGGTTTGAGGAATTGAAATCTTATGAAAGGTTTGAGGACGTTTAATAGAAACCAATTCAGCGACGGCAGCTCCAACATCCGTCAGGCTAAAACAGCTCATTTATTTGAATGATTTATCCGAGTACAGCGTTACAGAGCTGCTTCAAACACTGACGTCCCGGCAAGTGACAGACAAACAGGAAATTAGAGACATGCAGGAAATACCAAGAACACTCTGTGGGTGATAATGATTGTTGTGATGGAGACTGAAGAGTCTTAAGTTGAAAGATGACCCCTCTGTCATTCATAACACCGCTCTATTGCTGCTTGTGTAGCCTCTGAGCTGAGCTGAATTGGGATCTGATTTGTCAGGGGAATTGGTGGGGAATGTTATTGCTTTATTATCTTGAAAAGGAATTCAATAATCACACAGTCGTGATAACTTGTGCTTTACCTCAATATCATAATGAAGTAAATGTTTTTGGCCATGAATAATGTTGGTTCACAAACTAGAAAAATGCTGACCTTAAGCATAAGCGTCATTTGGGTTTGTTGACATGTTCAGTACTGGTGTGGTTAAATGAAAAGGCCAAACATGGCGCTCATGACTCATCCGATACAATTCACTCGTTTCCATCATAAATGAAGATTAGGCAGTGAAGGCCGGATGGTTCGGTGAGAGTTCATGCAAGGTGTGCAGTTTTCAAAATGTCCAGAAGTTGGGGTTAGGTTCAAAATTTACTGACCATTATGGGAGGTTGGGGTTAGGCATTAACGCCAAAGGGGTGAAGTCAAGGTTTAGCATCATGCAGGTGGTTAGGTATGGCTATGAAGTCCACTGACTGCTAGGTTCAGGCACATCGTAGCACAAAGTGTGAGACCCATTTTTGCACCATGTCCATGTCCATGTCCAATCAACATATGGAATTAGTTGGAGATGACCTTAAAGGTGGGGTACAAGATACAAGGCGTACAAGGCGTGCTACAAGATTGGTCTTGCAGAACCAAACAGAGAGTACAGAAAACCCAAGCAAGAAAACAAAGTAAATACCAGAGACTCTAGTGGAATAACGGGCGCTTAAAAAGGAAGTCGACCGGCAAGAGCTACGAAGTCGGGTCAACATCAGCATAAAGATGGGGGATGCTTCGGGATCTTGCAGACCCTGTAACCTTTATGCTGGTCAGGTGAACCATTTTAGCAAAGTAAGCAAAGTGTCTGTGACAGAAGTGTTTCTTGTCAAACGGGACCTGCTGCATGTTGTAGCGACGCTAAACTGTTGACCTCTGGTCCTGGACTATGTCACTTTATCCTAGTTGTAGAAGTCCTGCAAACATTGTGTTTGCTGGTAGTCTGTTGGCATCTACAGTAGCACCAATGCTTTTTACTTTCACGTTGACTGGGCCCCATTTGTAATGATCTGAAGTATTTATCTGCATTATATCTGAATTTAATTGAAATGATACGAGCGAGCAGGAGCGTCTGTTTGTGGGCGGGGCTTGCGGGAGAAGAGACAGAGGGGAGGGGAGGAGCTGAGAGGAAAACTGGTTGAGAGGGGTAGAGTTTATGTTCAAGAGTTCTCTCCAAAAACTGGCACTTCCTCAGATCCTGCCTACCCCACCTTTAACTTTGCACTTGTTTGTCTATATTTCTGCACACTCTCAATACTTGTACAGATAAAAATATGTAGTATATTGGAAATCCTGTAGGCAGTGTCCAGTGGTGTAGCCAATAGTTCAGAGATGTCTGGCAAACAGAGACAGAAGAAGATGGTGGATTTTTTTAGATGGGGGACTATGATTATTCATTTACTGAATGAGGCTTTGATAGGGTAGCTGTTCTGTGACACTCATAATCAACCCAAAGAGGACGGGAGCTTCACTCTATACATCTTATCTCTACAACTCATTTGCCATACCCGAAAAGAGAACAATCAAAAGACGACCATGCCTGCAGCCAAAATCACAGCTCCTGATTCATCAGAACTTTTTATCCCACGGCTATAATTTAAATCTCTTTAAAGCAGGTTTCAATCCGCAGCAAATCAGTGTAGTTGCTATGATACAGATTTGCACCTGAGCCAGCCACAGATGTGAGTAAATGACTCATGCTGTGGTAACAACTAGTGCCGTGCTTTGCTATAGGCTTCTATATTTTATATGAGCCTTCATCCACACAGCAGGAAAATGTGCCTCTGCTTATGTGTTTGCTTTCAAGAACGTGGTTTCTTTAACTTATCACTAAGTAATTCAACTGTTTTGAGGTTAATGTCATTCAAAATGACACTCACGCTCTTTTGCTAGTTTGGTTGCTAACAATAAAGCGTTTTGCTGTTGTGTGTTCTTAAAAAAGGTGAAAAAAAAACTGTAATGACTTTTCGAATTATTCTTTGTGTCACTTTTTGACAGTGGGTCTGTTTGTTTTCCTCTAATAAAACTTTAATAGTCTGAGCTTCACTCTCTTAAGGGTAGGTTTTAGGGTTACGGACGTAATTTGTAACTTTTTCAAAAGCCCGTTTCAGTCCCCTGCAGTTTTAACTATCTGAAAACAATGTTACTTTACACTATAGCAAACTGATACACGTCAGGCACTAGGACCAAACGGCCGCTCAAGCCGAAAACTGGTTTCCCCTTGGTTTGGACCGCCCACAAGGTCCTTGATTGGCTTTGTCCCGCCCTCCTTCACCTCTGATTGGCTAGAAGTGCTGGGCTCCGATTGGTTATTCCTAATGGCTGTGAAACGTCATTGTCTGTCGGGTAAGGGTAAGGATTAGGATTAGGATGAGGGTTAGGGTTAGGGTTAGGAGATTCAGAAGTGCGATAATGCTCTGTAGTGTTCTGTTTGATGTACAAAGCTGACAGCCCGCATTTGGCTTGAGCGTGTGATGACGTTTCCAGCTTTTCTAGCCAATCAGAGGTGAAGGAGGCGGGACTTTCCCCTACCATCCAACAAAAAAAAAAAATATTGCCTGCCGGACTAGTGTTTCACAAGTTGCTGGTAAGAGTCAGTCCATGAACATCGCTATTTGCTGATGTAAGTTTACAGGAGGGCGGCGTTCATTTTCCCTCCATAACATCACATTCATCAGAGGTTTCATTTACATCCCTGAATCGGGTTTGTACTTCCATATATCCTCTGTCACTCCTATGTGCTGTTTGCTAGTACTCAAGTCACATGTGTCCCCCTCTAACTTTGAAATCAAAATTTCGTCCATGGTTGGTAAAAGGAAGAGCTACACATCTGCAAAGAAACTGCACATTGCTGAACATCATAGCAGTCTTCCTGCAGGAGCACATTTGAAACCTTTCCCCCTCAAATAAATTCCATCTTATTTTCCAGTGTGACTCATATTCTGGATTTTACGGTATATCTTCATATTTAGAAGCTCTGGGCCCTTGACCCAGCTGCCCTATTTGATGCGCTGGGATTAGAAAAGTGTTGACCGGGTGTATGAACCTCACCTAACACACAGCCTTGAGCACAAACACCCTCCATAACAATCCACTTGCCTCAGGCGTCAAAACAACTGTATTGTAAATACTGCCAGCTCTGACCCTCCAAAAACAGCCCCCAATTAGCCTCTGATGAGCAACAAAACAAGTTCCAAAGTTTTTGCATTATTACTTATTAATTTCATTTCAAAGTCTGACAATCCCCAAGTCTCATGGCGATGAAGGAAAGCTCATTAAAGGACCAGAATAGAGAAGGGCTCACATGAAATAACTTTCAGGAAATGTATTCTGTAAATCCTGAAATATTAAAGTTTGCATAATCTTTTAACACATTTGCTGTCAGATTTGACTCCGGCACACATGGGGCTCACACTCGGAAGTAATTGTTGCCGATGTCAGTGCGCCTGAATGTAACAGAGCAGTGAGTGAAGTTTGCTGTTGATTTTTGTGTTGTTTAGGCACGTTTGAGCATTTTTATATCACGTGTCCGTCCTATTTCTACTTATCTCTATTTTGACATAACTGGGATCAACAATTATGCATGAGAGATTTTTAATGTGGACTAATTTTGAGATCAGATATTCGATATTGGAAGATCCATCCTGCCCAGGCAGCTGTCTCTCTTCCCTGATTTTTCTATGATGCTTTTGTTTGTTTAGCTACACGTCTAAGTGAGAGAAGAAGTGATTTGTATGAGAAACATGTACAGACGCTTTAAAAACTCATTATTATAGAAAATTATCTCAATGCTAATATGAAAATGAAAGACTCAGCTTTAATAAAAAATAACTTGAATGCCTTAAGTTCCTTAGGTGCCAAAGATTAAAAGATCAGTTTAATTTTTACACTTAACATCTCATCTTGTTTTATTCAAAATCTCTCCTGAACATCAAGATCTCCAAAAGAAAGACTTGAAAAAGTGATTAAAATATAAGTGACTAAAACTTTGAGGTCTTTTAAAGAGTTGAGGCGTTTTATTGAAGTTCTGTGCTGGGAAACAGAAGTCAAATAAGGGAGCATGATTAGACTTTAGATGTCTAATTCTTTCATTAAAATATCTTTAAGTTTAACGATTGTTTCTTCTTTTAAAGAGTTTCTTCTCTAGTTCTAATAAACTGAAATAAACTACATTTACTTTGTCAACTCTACCTTCTCTGGAGAGCTAATTAATGCTTGTTTGGATATTGAATGAACCTGTAAACTAACCTTGCTACCAAAGCAGTTCAACTAAAAACCTGCAGAGAAGGTTTGTCTAATATTGGCAGATCACTGAGCTGAAGTTTCAGTCTCTGCTCCTCAGACTATACTGAAAACTGTGCCTTTTAACCGTCAGAGACCAGCAAGAGTGAGAAAGAGTGACATTTTTGCCACAGGGTCAACAGGCAGTAGGGAATTGTGCTGGATCCCTGTATGCTGGTTGATTTGATACATGTCATGAAGTCATGAAGTTGTGTACAAGAGCAGCTCAGCGTGGATGTGGGTATTAAATTAGAATATGTTGCTACATAATGGTATCACAAACCAATGACAAAGTGATAGAAAAAGAGCCTGTTTGGATTATTTTCTTCACCATGCGCGTGTGTGACCAATGAAAGCTTGTTGGAACATGGCTTTACCTGCACTTGCCTCATTGCGAGCATTTTCACCAATAATAACACCAAATCACCAAACTGTGGCTGATCCTAGATCTGCTGGGTCAATCCTGCCAAGATGGCAGATGGACCAAACCAATTAAACTACAATGACAAAAGCTAGGTTTGAAACACTGAGTCATTGGAAGACATTGTGACAAGATGATCTCTACAGGTTTCTACTAATTGTGTCAATCCACACCGAGAGGCCCTGTGTCCTGGTCCTGACATTGGGACCTGGTACAGCACTCTTACTCAGAGACTGTCTTAAGTTTTTAACCAACAGACACATTTTACAGATTTGGTTTACGAGCAACGTAACTCTTAAGTCGAAACCATCTCTATGTTCTTCTCAATTAAAACTGCTCCAAGACTGACTACTGTATACCATTAGGACCTGGAGACAAGGTTTTTTTTTTTTTTTTTTCCCTTGGATTCCAGTAATTATTTGGTTGACACCTTCATATACAACATAACTAACTGTAACTAACTGTAAAATCTACTCGCTTCGTGAGACCAGCAAGCTTCAAGAATACAACCCCTCATAAATGAAGGTAATCTGTGATCATTTATAAATACATCTGAAGGAAAAATTCAGTTTTGTTGTTGGCTGACCATGCTACACAGAGGCGGCCATCTTTGTTTCGATCTGTTGACCAGTATCTTTAATCAATTACCTGTAAAAGTCCAGTTAGGTGTGAGCATAGACTGTATGTAGAATGGACGCCGTCTGCCTCCTCGCTGGGTGAAGCCACTCCGAGAACAGCACCCTCTGGTGACGGGCTGCAGTATAGGTCATAAATCCCGCCTCCGCCAGCAAAGCTTATGGAGCTGTGGACAAACTTTAGAAATTTATTACACAGAACATAATTTGTTTCCCCCCCGGTTGTGATGTTGACATGTAGTTATTGTAAGACTGGTTTGTACTCAAGTCCTCTTTTTTTCTGCACAGCTCCATTTTTAAAAGTTATCAGGGGGTTCATGTTTTCTATGATTGACACCTGATACAGCCTATGGGCGTATGAAGATTGCGTAGCTCACCCGGTGGATACGCTGTTTGAGCCGAGCGTCATCACAGCGACTCTCCCGCCAAATGTGCACAATGCCACTGCGCAATGTTGGTTTCAGGAAATGGAGAGAAAACGTGGAATTACCGGAACCAATTTGTCCATAGTATATACAGTCTGTGTGTGTGAGGGAAACCTGAAACGAATGTCACACCTGTTCAGTTTCCTCTAGTGTAAACGGATCTGTGCATTTTAGTGTCATTTGGTTTCATCCGTTTCTTTCAGTGGAGCTGAAAACAAAAATCTTTTGCTGTTTCCTCAAAACTTCATCGAAAAGACGGGTCGTCTTATGATCAATCATGATGTATATTTCTCAGATATTTCTGACATTTCAGAGTTCTTCCCGATCAACATTTAGGACAAGAGCACCATTAAAATGTTCAGAACAAAGTCCAGCTCTTCACGGTCTATAATTGCGTCCGCGTTACCAAATTGCAGACGAAAGATCTGATCTCTCTTCAGCCAAACCTTAAGGCAAACATGCTCCTAATGATTTTTTTAATGGGTTTCAAAAATCCTTTCAGGCATCTTTTCAATCAGCTCCCTGTCTGCCAAATGAGAGCCCCCTCTCTCAAAGACTCTCCAGTGAGCATTGTGGCGCTTTGTGATGAGTTTGGCACTGGGGTTTGAAAAGAGGAGCTGAATCTATAACCTGTGTGCGGGCGAGTGGCGGACAGAGACAGTTGACGGAGTGGAATCCTTCACACTGCTGTAATGGGTATAATTACACAAAGAAAAGGGCTGTTAGGTTAAATTACCCGTGATATTCGCCATGGGTAATGACAGAAATTCAGAAGGTTAAATGACACCAGGAGCTGAATGACTTTTGACATTAAGGCACTTTTGAAAAAGGGAATTAGAACAGAGGCTTTATGGGCAAATCCAATAGCGTACATGTTGGACTGTGGAGATTGCTTTGAGAGAACTTTAAAAAGACCTTTTTTGTGAACACCTGTGTCTTTAAGAGCCATTGTGAGATGATTTAGTCTAAAAAGCTCTGGCCGGATAGATTGTTTCCAACAGCGGAAGCTATTTGAAGCTCACTTTGAGTCGCAGTGATGTCTGGAAATTGTCCTGCTGAGTGGCACGCCTCCTCATACAAGTAACCACGGCAGCAAAGGAAAAGCTGAATAGACTCCAGCAATTAGCAGTTCCTCGCATATTGAGTCTTACTTTGAGGCTTTCCAGCGACTTTCCAAATAGGTTTGTGTATTAAAGTCTTCGTTTTTTTCTCCGCTCTGAACTGCATTCACCGCGGTTCAAACGCTGACCTTCACAGACAGCAAACAGCCCAATTAGTGTACGAAAAAGGTGAGGGGGCTGGACCTGTTCCCCATGCAATTACCTCGAGTCACCCCTGAAGCAGCCACCCACACACACAACCAGCGGAGAGCATGTGGTGTTTGCCAATAATACTGTAAATGGCCATGAAGAGGGAAGAGAGCCAGGAACAGTATATTGTGGGGTTTTTTTTTTTCCCAGCGCTCATGCTGTTTCACTTCCTTTGTAAATTTCAAATCAAACCTCACAAACTTATTTCCCCTCTCAGTCACCTAGTCTGCTCTTTCTCCTCCTGACTGGCTTACATGTGCAGTTCGATGTGCTCTCTAATGATATAAAAAGCAGAAATCCACATCACACGGCATTATCTATTATAAAGCTGATATTTAATAGATACTCTGAACATGTGAACTTTAATATTTTATGGATTATTAAGATGTGATCTCTTAAAGAAAAGCTGCCACACGCATGTAAGTTAACATTAATTCATATAATTTCATGGTATAAAATACAATATACATACAAGTGGAAAGAATAGGAGCCAATACATCAATTATTCACTTTTTACATGGTTAAGATTTATAATACCACAAAAAAGAAACAGATGTATTGATAAATCAGAATGACTGACATTGTTTTGCTTCAATTTTAATGGTGTAATGCACCTTTAATATTCCCTTTTCTGTAGACACGGCTTTGGAAAGCTAACAAACCTCGAATCAAAAGCTAATTTCTTGTGAAGGTGAGGTATAACAAAGGTGTACCCACTGAAATTAAAGGGGCATTTCGCTTTAACGTAACCTTGTGGCTGGATTGTATTCAAGTTTTTACGACCTTGCTTAAAGTTTGTCTGTTGGAATAACAAAAGAGGTGATTTTTCATAAGGCCTTCTAAGCTCAATTGACAAACGGTTCATTTAACTTCCCCTGAGCCTCCATTTAAGTCAAGGTTTGATTTACCCAGGTACACCTGCAACAGGAATTATTATTTTTAAAGCAAGACTGCCACAATAGACCAGTATTGACAAAAAAACAACAATGTATTTTATTTTAAAACAGTATTAATACTGTGCATAAATAAGCAAAAATAACACCGTGAGTTCATTGTAGTGGTATTTTGGCTGAAAACAGAGGAAAGACAAACGAGAGGTAATGCTAGCTGACGCAGTTTTCTGAGCGGTGATTTGGCACTTAGAAAATAGGCCTTTTTGGGTCACTTGTTGATTGAAAGTTTTGTACTTTTTAACAGCTTTTGTTCAGTTTCGTAACTTGCAATCTCGCATAAGTAGCACATTTCAAAATAAAAGCACAGCCACCTAAAGAGGAGATAAAAAATGACGGTAACACTTTACTTGACACCTATCTCTATAACACATTTTAAATATATGTATAATGCATTATAATCAGGTTATAGCACTGTATAACTATAGTTGTAAACACTCATAAATATAGCAATAATCATAACACATTATAAAGCATTTTATCATGACTTACAAGGTCAGGTATTATAGCGTGTTATGATTATTGCTATAAAGCACTGTAATCATTAATGAGTGTTTATAACTACAGTCATAACAAATCGCATTATACATATATTTATAATGTGTTATAGAGATAGACGTCAAATAAAGCGTTACCAAAACAGACAATTAAAAATTAAAGCATGACAAACAAAAGTATAATGAGACGATGTCCTCTCCAGTGAAGTTTTGGTGATTCTTTCTTAAAGGCAAAAAGGCGAATATTATTAGAAATTGCATATAATACTTAATTTATATCATATCTGATGCTGTATAATTAAAAATAATAATAAAATTAATGTTTTAATGAATAAAAAATCTGCAAATAATAAAGAAATATAAGATTTTACATCAGGGTTGATCTTAGCATTGAATGAATAATGGGTACTTCCTGTTTGCTGAGTAATGTTAGAGTAATGATAGTGCTCTTTCTTCTGTACAATAAATATAAAGCTACAGCCACCAGCCTGTTAGCTTAGCTTAGCATTAAGACTGGAATAAAAGCCAGATGGGAGTACAGCCATTCAAGTAGAACCCCTTCAAAAGACCGTGTCCTCCTCCGCCCCCCCGTACCAAGGGGTGAGTCTCACCAAGCAAGGTCTGGGATTACACACCGGTGGCTCTGGTAAAAGCTCCAGCGAATCCAGTGAGCTCAGAGACCCTGTGGGAGACCCTGACCCCTCATAAGCATAGGTCCTCAGGCAGTCAAAAGGGGGAACATAAGGATCCTCATCAGCTTCTGCCAGCCTGTCTAGGATAAACTGCCTGAAGACCTCGTCCTCAGGCCCGATTAGATGCGATTCTCTCAGGGACATTCGTATGCTGGCTCTGACGTCCTCCCTCCTCAGCCTCCTCTCTTTCCTCCTGGGGTGGGGGCGCAGCGGGACCACAGGCTGGCAGAAGCCCAAGTCTGCTCCTCCTCCCCCTTTTTCTCCGTAATACAGCACCTTCTGCGACACCGTCTCGGGCAGCTCCAGCTCCTTCACCTCCACCTCCGGGCCCTCCTGCTGCTTCCGCCTGTGTCTCCTCAGCACCAGCATTAGAACTGACAGCACTGCAGACACAACACAGCGGGAGATCATTACAGTTAAACACCGGGGCGCGAGCTTTGTGGGGGGGAAAAGCAGCGAGGGTGCCGGATGGAGCACGGATAGAAAAATAACAGCAGCAAGAACTGATTTCTGAAACTTGTGGAGATGCAAAACAGAAAACGCAGGTTAATTAGGCCATGAATTATTTTTTAATTTCAGCTCAGACATAAAGTTTTTTCCTCCAGAATGCTGAAAGAGAGCTTGTTTTTTTCCCTGATTGTTTTGTGCACATCTGACACAACGTTAGCATAGCAGGTATTGCCATTAATCTTTCATGTGATGGGCACAGGGAGGACACAAAGCAGCCGAGGTCATAATAAAGCTCTTCACTATGCAAACCCATCAACGTCCCAGGGTGGCATTGCTGCTGATGTATCGCAACCAATGCGCTCATTACCCGACATCATTGCTCTGCAAGCTTTCAGCATTATAAAAGTGTGTGTTAAAGGCACACTGGTGAGTTTTTAAAGAGGGGAATCAAATGAAAGTGCGAATTTGTTAATGAAGAAACCTGCTGTTTCACACACGTTTTCATACTTGCCAAAAGGATGTGGCGGTGGAAGTGCTTAAGCTCAACAGATCCGCTGAAAGAGAACGACTTTTTTACAACATGTCAGCATGATTGGTATTGTTTCATAAACTCTAAAACAGACAGAAAACCGACTTCTGGAAAATAAGAAGGTGGGTCACCAAAGGCAGGGGTGTCGAGGTAGGTTATCATAGCATTTTTATTATTCACACTGAATACTGTTTCTGTCTTCTGAAATACTCCGTCTACATCACCGGGGGGAAAGTACTTCTGAAGCCGTAGTGCAAAAACAATCAGCTCTCTAGTACTCTTCAGTCTGCCTGTGTAAACAAAACACACTACATTTGCAACATGCCTCTGAGAGGGAATAATCATGTTCAACCAGACGCCTGCCTTGTCAATCTCTCTGATAGCTCTTGCCAAAGAAATATCAAAAGAAAAAGATCTTTGGTGTTTTTATCGACTGTTTCAAAGACGTGAGGATGATTTTCTGTGAATTTCTTTTAAATTAAGTACATCAACAGTTCTCTGACCATCCGCCCTTGATGCTCGAATTACTTCTGACCTCGCGGAGTTTTTAAAGGGTCTAGTAAAACAAAAACGCCAGAACAAAGATGTTCTCCATCAGGAGATGCAGTTTTATTGATACGTTTGAACCTATTCCCTCTGTTTCTGACAGCTTTTTAAATAGAGCTCTGAAAACTCGTGCGCAGAGCTCAGAAATGTTTGAAACTGAGGTTAATTTTAGACAAGAAGCTAAAATTAATCTGAAAACACTACTGCTTCAGTGTCATGCAAGTTCAGTTCAATGTCTAATGTAAGCTTGTACACATATGTGTAATATTTCAAATGAACGATTTTATTTATTTCAGTATATTATGACCGAAAGGGTGTAGGCAGAAGCAGTGCTTATACAGACCTACCCCTTATACCATACATCGGGTACATTATACAGATACACTCTGTTTATACAAATATCAACACTTCATCAGCTAGAGTACTGAATATGCTTTACACTTTACATTAATGATCATACATCATTTTCTCTACAATATTGAGAAATAATATATTTCTTGTAAAGTCTCTTAAAGCTCACCAGAGTACTACATTTTCTAATCTCTACCAGGCAGTCGTTCCATATTTCACCCCTTTTACAGACAAATAAAATTTTTTGACATTTGTTCGCGCTTTCGGTTTCTCAAATAATACACAGCCTCTTAGGTTGTAATTAGAGACCCTTAGTTTAAACAAGTTCTAGACATGTTGCAGTAGGGTATTTCATCTTTAATGTTTGTATATAAAGAGCAAAGTCTACCAGATATTACCTTTGTATAACTAGAAAAATACAGCAGTAATATTAGTTACTGTTTTGTCCACAGGGGGCGCCAAAGCCAACACAGACAGAAAGTAGGACAAACAAAGGTGGGTATCATAACTTTGTTAACATTCTCCCTCCAGATGCTTTCACTCGATAATGCTAGCTTGAGAATTTACAGACACTGTAATCACTACTTGATTAGCTAGCATACTTTATTAGCTTAAGCCTTCAAGATGATCTTGAAGATGATTCAAAAAGTTTTGTTCTGTAAATTTGAATGTTGAATGGAGGAAATAAATTACTTAAAATGCATCCAGGTGCAAAAAAACAAAAAGACATTTAAAATTTTTATTGTTGGACTTAAAGGGATATTCCGGCGTAAAATTAATTCAGGGTCAAACACACCATAACACCAAGTTAGACATGCCTTGAGAGATGAATGTTCCCGACTGCTTGCTTCTCTAGTTATACCAACTTTAGTAATGATCGTGGGATAGCAATACACAGTGGTCTGAGAAGCCATAAACAAACATCAACCAAAACGCCACTCTATAGCCACAAATAATGCTCAGAACAGCACGTAACTTCATCAACAGTACATATAGGGTCCCAGCCATAGCCATAGCCACCAAACATCTTTTTAACTTTGCCTAATTTCTTTAGCAAAGAGACTAAACACAACTCACCTACTCTCTTCCAGCAGCCGCTTGTTTGTAGCAAGACCTTGACCAGTCCATCATCGACTGAGGCGGGGGGAGGGGTGGCGCAACTCAAGGAAGAACATCTATAGCCACTCTATGTGTCTCAGACCGCTGTGTATTACTATCCTGTGGTCGTTACTAAAGTTGGTATAACTAGAGAAGCAAGCGGTCGGCAACATTCATCTCTTGAGGGGGTGTCTAACTCGGTGTTACAGTGTGTTTGACCCTGAATTAATTTTACGCCGGAATATCTCTTTAAACTTGAGCGAGGGGAAGATTTTATCATCTTTTTCCTTTGAGGGCTCCGTATCTTTACATAACTCCTTCTATTTACAAATCTTGCAGCTAAATTTCATTTTAATTCTGACCTTTGGATGGCAGAAAGTTAAAAGAGTAAAATAAAAATATCTAAAATATTTTTCCAAACAGATTGATGTAATGGATGGCAGTGGGATAGGCCTTCAAAATAAAAGCATGCCTTCTTACCTGTGAGAGTGATGAGGCAGACCAGAAGCCCTAAAAGAGTCTGCAGACTGAGCCCCATAGACAGAGCGAGGGCCTCCACCCCTCCTGTGGGACAGTGTCCGGCTGGCTGGCAGCTGCACACGCTGACGGTTAAAGTTGTGGTGCTGGAGAGAGCCGGAGAGCCGCTGTCTGTCACCACGACTGGCAAGAGGTACTGGGTTCGATCTTTGCGGGTGAAAGTACTCCTGCGTGCAACGATTCCGGCTGTATTGTCTGAAAAAAGTGAAGGCATTGGAATAGCAAGTGAGATGAGGCTTTGAATGTGATTTCGAGTATAAACCGAGCTTTCTGCGAGCTGCTAACACCTTGTCAAATCTAATTTTCTATGCGCAGTGATGTAAATTGACTAAATCTCTCCCAGTGTTTAGGTTCAGAGGACTTTCTCAATTCAGTTAGCAACTTTTTAGGAGTCCAATAAGCCTTTCGGCACATGCAAATGTGATCTAACAAATGTGCTTCTTCTTGATTCATTATTCATTACCTGCTTGCTGACTGGACTGTTGTGCCTGCGTGGCTAACCACCCATTCACTACACAAGCATACATTTCATCCTAAAGTATTGGACGCATTCAAACATCCCTCTGCTGCACACTTTAACAACACTGTTCGATTTTTACTGCCCATTTTCATTATACACTTGGAAAAAGGAGGCTGACTGATCACTGACTACAAGGCAAACACACTTTCAATTTACTCACTCTACAGGCTGTCAGCCACAAAAAATACAACCTACTGAGAGTTTTTGTTTCCAAATGTGGCAAAAAATCCTTTACAGATGGAAAGTGTTTGGAATCAAAGTTCTTACTCGTGTGAAATAAATGGGAAAAAGTTGTAAAACTGCTCATACAAGTTCAAGTTTGGCAACAACTCATTTGTATTTCAAGCACCAAATGGTCTTCTGGTGAAGCTTTATCCATCATGAGTCTTTATTTCTATACGAGAAGTAATCGACAAACTATCCACAACTGATGCAGAGGTGCAGGGTCGGAGAAATGGGTTCATTGCACCAAAAGGGAGAAAAATTTAACCTCGCTTTTTAATTCAAAACTGGACAAAAACATCCGCCTGCTTCCTGTCAGTGAGAGTGAATCTTTGACAGACTGTTGTCGTATCATTATCCCTGTCAAATCAGCATGATAGCTGTCGCGGCTTCCAACCAGTTATTTAATCACTCACTGTCTGTCCGTGGAGTTGCTGTCAACTCCCTTCGTCATCACCAGGAGTATTTTTTCTTTGCTTTGTGTGTTAAAATTACAACCAAAACTGAATACTACAATTTTTCCCAGAGAGGATTTGTAAGTTTTTTAACTTTGGAGTGAAATTTCTGTTTTGAAAAATTGTTAGAAACTCTAGTAAGTAGGTCTGATGTAGAGAGCAAGAGGAGAAAGTTAACACTGTGAGATTCATCTGATCTCTTTTAAACTCCTGGGAAATTTAAGTTTCCCCAATTCTTGAACTGTGGTTCATTTTCTCGAGGTGTGGTTGTACGTGGATGTTACTGGTCTGAATCCTCAGCTATCAGCAGCTGCAGGTAGGAGCATTGATGTCTTTTCAGCAGTTTATTTAATGCAACACATTTATGTTCTCTTGCCTTCAGAGTACTGATCAGCTGTTCATGTATGCAGGTTTGGTGGTTTGAATATTATTAATCAAAACTATGATGACAAATGTTCATCAATGACCATTTCTCCAGGATTGACCTTCATCCTGTGTTAGCTTTCACTACGCCCCCACCATGTTAAGGGTCTGCTTCAAACAGGGCAGCAAGAACAGCTCTGAATTGTAATTATAGAACAAATACCACAGTCATGTATAACTGTCTGGGCTGGTTATCAGTTAGAAAGAGATTATTGTATTCATTGTTGGTGTTCTTCAAAAACATTCTGATAACTAAAAACCCAACAATCTTGTATAAAAATGTAAATTTTAGTTCTGACCAACATAGCTATGTCACCAGACATGCGACTAGTGGAAAATTTACACTACCCAAAATAAAAACAAACATAATAAAGCAGATGGTTATGTACAGAGCCATGCAAGTATGGAACAAATTACCAGAAAACATTCCACAAGAAGACAGTAAAATCACTTCTAAGTACTTAGTTAAGAAACACCTTTTCACAACAGAAATTTAAAATTTAATATTTAGATGGCAAGTATTTTGTGTGTATGTATGTATGTATACATGAGTACATGTGTATATATACATATATATACATATATATATATATATATATGTATATATATGTATATATAGTGCTTTCAAGATATGTAGATACTTTACATAACTGCCAACTCAGGAGCAATCTGTTATTGTTTATGTATTGTTTATTTGTATGTATTCTCTTTATTTGTTTGTGTTTGTTTTGTGAATTATGATTATTATTTTTATTTATTTATTTATTTTTATTTATTTATTTTACATGGGGCGTATTATACATATCAGATATTTACATTGATTTATTGTGTGTTGGTTTAAGGACCCCAGGAAGAAGAGCTGAGGCTCGGCCAAGGCTAATGGGGATCCAAAATAAATCAAATCAAATCAAATCAAATCTGTGTCTTAAATCAGCTGTAAATTACAATAAAAACATGTCTCTTTCATCCAATTTGGTTCTCATCTCTAGGTTAACTTGTTAGGCTTCATTATCAATGAAAATCTTGCTTATAATGTTTTTTGTGGGGTCCTCTGGGCCTTTCTTTGTCAGTATACCTGTCATACAGACATCTATACTGAATTGATCACACATGTCTGGACATGCCTGAGGCTGTTTTTGTGCAGGAAAAACATTAAAAAAAGAGGATTACCGAGATCTTGCATGATTGGAAGAGGACCTGACTGTCAGTGCACTTATGATTTTAGTTTTCACTCTAATTATTAGATATTAATCAAATCGGGTCAACAGCGACCCTAATACGACAGGTGCTGTAATTTTAATAAGAGCATTTTATAATTCAGTCAATTAAATTTTTTATCTTTATTTTCTTGAAATCGAGGTTCCTGACAAAGTCATTAAGTCTTGATGCAAAAAAGCTCATTTAAGTGGTTCTTTTAAGCATTTAAAAACAAAAACGAGTTGGTGCAGACCCTAACACAGGAGGAGGGTTAAGCTGAGATAATGACAACCCAAGAAATGCCTCACTGACACCAAAATCAAAATTGAAACTGTTGGTCATATGACTGTGAAGCTAATCCATTGACTGACGTATTTTTATAAACTTTTCCAGCTGCTTGTTGATCAAAATTCAATCGGCTATCAGTGCAACAACAGTTCAATGTTTGACATTTTTGTCTGCTCTTATCTGACCGTTAATTGCTCTGTGTTTAAACCCGGTTTTATCCTAGTGTGGAGACATCTTAGAGAGCAAATTTATCAATATATCCTCGAGCATTGACAGACTGGAGATGAAGATGTGGCGAAGAGAGAGGCGAACTAAGTGTAAGGGCTGAGTTTGAATTGCAAAATATCAAAACCCATAATGGCACTATAGTTTTTTCTCTTAAAAATATCTGAATGATTCACTAGTGTTGACCCTGTCTGTAGTGGTAGAAAGCCGAGCTCCACTTCCTCAACAATAGGGCCAAACTTACTAACAGCCCCTGAGGGTAATACGCTTCATTGACAACAAACTCATTCAACCCACTACAAACAAACTAAACTCTCTTTTTTAATAACCCCAGCGTTTAGAAGAATCGGTTTAAACAGAATAAAGAACAAAGAGGTGAACAGTAATAGATTCAACAGGACCTTGATTATCTCTGATAGTGAAGTTTGGATTGATGTGCTTCTCAGGAACCATTGAGAAATAGAAATGGTGTCCCTCCACGGGTTCGTCTGGGTCAACTGCGTTGAGCAGCTGAATGAGCTGAAACACAAAAAGACCCTTTCATTGGAAATATGAGCAACACTGCTGTCCCATACACAAACAGATTTCATAAGGAGCCTACGTAATCACATGCGGCCTTGGTATTTCCTTTCTGAGAAATGCAGAGACTCTCATTCAGCAGCTGACACTGTTTTAGGTTTCATTTGGCACAGTGAAGTCTACAACAGTAAATCGGGTCTTTGTGAGTCCTTCAACATTTAAAAGTATAATAGCAGGAGTGTTTTCATACAATATGACGCAACAGACGTACTTCCCCTGCCAATATTCATTAAGTATGTCATTGCCACTCTTTTTTTCATTAAATCATGAACATCAGTGCATCATAATATACATACTTCTCCCGCCTGTGTTCCCTCACAGATATATGGCTGGTAATCTCTTGCAAGCCTTGGCACATTGTCGTTTATGTCCAGCACTTTGATGAACACCACCACAGAGGAGGATAAATGGTTCTGCGCTGCAGTAGTGAAGATAGACATTTGCAGGAGTCCACTGGGTGCATGTATCATAAACGCTGCATAAAAGCTTTGACAAAATGATACTTAAGACTGATAAATGTTTCAGCTTTTCAAAACAAAAACATGGCGGAAGAATGAAAAAGGGCAGAGACATCACCGCTTTTGTACACCAGGAATAGAAACAGACTGGAGGACTGAACAAAAATCTTTTTTATGGAAATGTAAGACCTAAACGTTTCTCCAATAAACACTTTTATAATCGGATGTACCCCAAACTCATCAATACCATCCTATACAATGACCATTTGTTGGCCTTTTCAGTTGATCATATTTTAAAATATATGTGTTTATATATGATGTTAGAAGTTTTAATTGTAATATTCTGATATCTATATGTAACGATAGCCAATTGTTAGCTTTTTGTCCACCACTCTTAGCTATTTTTTTCTATCTGTTCGTAAAGTACCGTCTTTCATCACTTTTACATTTCTTTGCGATTATTAGTTCAAATAAAAAAAAAGAAATCTGACGGTTTTGTTATAGCTAACTACTAAAGTATTGCCATCTTGTAAATCTATCCCTTTTTCATAACTTTAAGCTAACATAATCCACTGTTAACTTTCCGTACCGTTCTTACAAATAATTAGATATCTTTTCTAAATGTTGTTTTAACTTTTGCGCTAACATTTTAGTGCCCTCTCTATATATGAAGCTAACTATCTTTTATCTTCAAATACTTTCAACTGCTCATTTATTTTTTGAACTACCATTTCAATCGTATTTTTAGCTCATGTCAACTGTTAACTACTTTTAGCTAGCTTGAACATAATTTTGTCCACCGTTAGCTAGCAATTTCAGTCACTTTATTATTTCCATTAGTTGTCAGCTTCAAATACTGATTCATTCCTCCCATCATTACGACAAATAAAATTCTAATAACTCACAAGATTTGTTAAAATTCCTCTTGTTAACAATTTAAAGACTTAATTTCTTGCAGCTAACAATGTCAACATTGCCAACTTAACGCTCTCTCTTCGCGCCTGCTTTTCAAAATATTAAGCTAACAATCTTGACTTACATTTTACATCCTTACCTTTAGCTAACGCTGTCTGCTGTTGACCTTTTTAGCTATTTCAACTAACATTTTGATATTTTCAGCATTTATTTACACATTTCCATGTAGCGTAGCATTAGCTATCATCTGTGCCTGTAAGCTCAGTAGTTGTCATGCAATCTTAATAGCAACAGAGCAGAAATGTTGTTTCTATTTTTAAAATTATCGAATTGACTTATCAAATTCTTCTCATTAACTATTTTAATGACTTAATCTCTTGCAGCTAACAATGTCAACAGTGCCGACTTAACGCTCTCTCTTCGCGCCTGCTTTTCAAAACATTAAGCTAACAATCTTGGCTTTCTAACACTTCCAACGTTACATTTCACATCCTAACCTTTAGCTAACGCTGTCTGTTATTGACCTTTTTAGCTATTTCAAACAACACTCTGATAACTTTCAGCATTTATTTACATATTTCCATGTAGCGTAGAGTTAGTGATCATCTGTGCTTGTAAGCTCAGTAGTTGTCACTCACTCTCAAAAGCAATAGAGTAGAAATGTTGTTTCTATTTTTAAAATAATCGAATTAACTAAATTATCTCTCTTTGTGACATGGTCATCTGCTGCGGTGAATCATGGCACAGCTGTGGGTATAAATAAAAACTGTACAAGACATGAAGTTCCCCTTACTTGTTTCCTTGGCTTCAACAGTAACATTATGCCAATTTGAAGTCTCTCGGTCCAAAGCTTTCGCGACAGTTATGGTTCCATTGTTTGGGTCTATTTTAAAAGCTTTTGTTGAATCGCTCCTTTTGTCAATCGAATATCTGGAGAAAAATCACAGAAACACACACTAAGTGGGTAAGGTTGTTTTCTGGGCGCACAAAACACTGTGGTACCACGGGGAGATTAATTAGGCAAAGTGCTCATTTTTTAAAATCTGATTACAGAAACCCAACAAAGAAGAGGACACAAATGCTACTGTGACAGAGCCACAACAAGCAGTGGAAACAAGGCTTCTCACACAGATGGCAGAGCTAAAATTTTAATATTTCCTCAGTTATATTAATTAAATTTCACTGCTACTTTAACAGCACTTTTCTTTTGATTTAATTTATCCTTTGAAAAGATTGTACTTCAAAAACAGTTTGACATGAAAAATAAATAAAAGAGAAAAACTTGTTTGTATCAGTCTTTTTACATATCACTGAGTCATGCTTTAAGGTTGTATTTTTGAAATTAAAGCTCCTTTGAGAAGTTTCCACATTTAAAAATTAAAGTGAAATTCATGTTGATGTCTTTTTATGATATCCAAAAGCAAAGAAGACCATCTGCAACAAGATTGACTTTTTTATATTTTAATAGGTGTGAGGAGGTAGGTGTCAACCTGGCAGATGGACTAAAAGCACTTTTTAAACATTTCCTATTAAAATACTCACAAAACTTTTCTGATATATTTTCTTTCTCCTTTGCTGTTATTCCTACACATGCTCTGACTTATTAAATTATAGTAACACAACAATAAAAGGGTAGGACTAGTTAAGTTTTATCAACTTCATCCTGCACCCTTTCGAACAAAGTATGATTATGTTGCTACAGAGCTTTAAATCAAACTTTATCTAACCTGACTTTTTTAAAAGCAGGGACAACTGTTTATAAAAGAGATATTTCCTCACTAGCATGAGCCATTACATTTAAATACTCATCCGTACAAGTGGTTATAGCATTAAGGAGAATTAGGGCAAGTAGAACTATATCAAAACATGAATTATTTCCAAGAGCCACTTTGCTGATAACAACATGGAAATAAGCCAATTTGACCAAAGCAAACTTAATCATATTTAGTAGAGCTGTGGAAACCCCTAAAATGTCAGTCTGAATTTATTAATCAATGAGACACTGTCACCAAAGGGGCAGTAATAGACATCAGGCTGAGGATGATATGCAGCACCTGCCACTCTAAAGCTCTGCCGAGATGGACTGCAGGCACCAGTACCGCTGCTGTCTCCTCTGCAACGTGCCCCACTTGCAAATGACTGCAAATCTCAATTCCATATGCCACCTTGTATGGTGCTTTATTACATTCCGACGTCCTAGCCACGCCGCTTTGTGATAATACCACAGCAATAGATAGAAAAGCCTGTGAGGTATGAGGGAAAAAAATCGTCATGATTTATTCAGCAGGGCCCATTTCCTACTAAAGTAATATGAGATAAATATGACCATGTACAGGGTATCCAGAGATCAAGGGTAAAAATGGATGCACCGAGCCAGTAACACTATTTGAAATGGAATGATTTTTCACCCTGTGGAGGAAGCTGTCTAGGCCAAGCTGTCTGAGGACGTTACGCCCCCACCAGCACGGGTATCTACCTCGTCATTATCATACTGGCAGTTGGGTGGCAGATGCCATTCCTCCTGCTTCAGACATTTCACATTACCTGATGGGATTGTTGACTATGTCAGTGTCTCGAGCACTAACACTGCCAACCTGAGTTCCCACAGCTGCATTCTCAGGAACTTTCCACTCGTACAGCGCGGCGAGGAAGACAGGCGGCTCGTCCACGTCCTCCACAATGATCTTGAGCGTTGTCCTGTCCGTGAACTCCTCCAAAGGTAGAAAGCGAGGGTCCACGTGATCGTTGACTGCCTCTGCTGCCATGACGAAACGTCTTTTGGCCTCATAGTCCAACGGCTGTGGAGGGAAAAAAAAAAACACATTTTAAATATCACTGAGAAACTGAAGCAGAAAATCTCATGTTGATTATCATTAGGCATGCTTAAAGAGCTACAGATTTCCAAATATGTTTTGCCAACTCATACTTAAGACAGCTTATTATTCTATTGGGAGCAGGATGCAACCCAGACTGGATGTTAAAATTGTTTAGTCGATGTCAATAAGCGACCAGCTGTGAGCACGCACTTAAATAATGCTGTGGTTTCAATAAACATTATGATGCTCGTAATAAGAAAACAGCATGCAAAACATTACTGCACTCCCAAAATGATTCACAGACAGAATCAATATTGTCCTTTTTTCTTTTTTTTTCTTTATTTCATTATTGAGGCATCTGAAATCAAATCTCCAGAGCTTTAAAGGAGAAGCAGAAGCCTGGTATGAATGGAGGCGGATGTTTGAGGCACAATCTAAAAGGATAATGAAACAGTCCTGTCTGAGTTCACTTTGAAAGTATCACCAACTCACTGACTCATTGAACCAAAGTTCTAGCTAGTGTTACGAGTTCATAGGTTTTCTGCCAGGACAGCCGAAGAAAAAACAGCAAATGTGTGAAGAAGAGGCAGGAGGTGACGTGTAGGAAAGGGTCGCAGTTGGAAGTTGAACCAGCAACAAGAATCCAGTTCATGGGTGTACACACTCAAACCACTAGGCCAAACGACGCCCCCACATTTTTTATAACTTTTGCTTTTCTCTAAAAAGTGCTCTGTGGCTTTGTAAATGTATGAAAATGAAAAGCTCCACAGTTGCACAGAAACCGCACATTGTGGATTTCAGCGACAGAAATCCTCATGGAGAAAAGTGGATTTAACATTAACAGGGAAATGGTTTGGGTAACACTTTACAATAACCATAATTTATAAATGGTAAAAAGATACTTTATTAATGTTTAATCATCATTTAAAAACAGCATATAGACCAATTATAAATGGCAAATAGATAGTTTATTAATGTAAGTTAATAGTTACTTTACCATTAACAAGCAATGAAATGATGATTTATAACTTTCATTGATTATCAATGGACTATTTATTAAAGGTTTATATAGGGTTTAAATATTAGTTGTAAAACATATAGATTAAAATGTATGTCAGTAGCACTTTGTAAATGGTTAATATTTGTTTTTTAAACCATATATAAACATTACTTAGATGGTCATTGTAAAGTTAGGGTTGGGTTTTCAAATTGTAAAATTTACAATTTATCAATGGTCTGTATTCTATTTATAAATTATGATTAAACATTAATAAACTAACTGCTTACCATTTATAAATGGTGTATTTACCGTTTATAAGTTGTGGTTATTGTAAAGTGTTTCCACGGTTCATTACTGTTGTTTACCTAACCAAGTCAGAGGGCAAACACTCTGTAATTTGTGAAATTATTTCAAGTAGAACAAAAACTAAAAATGGTGTTACAGCCACTTGTTTATTTATTTTTATAAGCTGTAGCTGTGTAATGTTATCTATATTCAAGATTTGAGGATAAATGAGATCTGTATTATTTCCACCTCTTAAGCTTGTTATATAGTCACATTATCACAAATAGAAAAAGTAAACATTCAGTTAAAGCTCCAGTGAGGAACTTTTTGTGTGTGTCAAGTTTGGCGCCCCCTGTGGACACTAAGTCCTTTCTTTGTTTTTCATTCCTTGTCGGCTAAAATAGTTTCGTCTGATTAAAAAAATCTTATTTTACTGACTTTTAAGAATAAAATGCATATAATGCGAATATTTAATGTAAAAAATGTATATCTTTTTTTTTCCCCCCCAGCGGTGTCAAAAAACTCCTTACTGGAGCTTTAAAGTACCTTTTGTATCAAATCACAAAATTATTCATGAATTTCTATTGATGAACTTTAACAATCATTTGTATTATAAGTAGTAGTATGGTTTGATCCCTCTTCTTTTCTGACAGCTGGATGAGAAACGATCAAATTTCAGCGCTGCAGTTAGTCAGTAAGAACGCTGAGTTCTAGCAAACTAGTTAAATGTGCATGCCGGCTCAGACTTTCCTCATGTACATCTGTGACCCAGAGAGGTGTTGATTCTGCTGTTCCTGCCAGGTGTGAGCCTGTGTGTGATTATTGGGTCTCTGTGCCAGGCTGTTACACTGCAGCGTCTGGTCGGCTCATTAATTTTTAAGAATCTTATTTAATTTTTTCTTTTTTTTGTCATCTGCGTATCTGTGCACGTTGTACGTTGAAGCTGCTGTCTGCCGGCTGGGATATGTGGCAGTGGCCTTTATCAGGTGTAATGATTGCTTGAAATGTGTTCCTGCTGGTGTCTGCAATGTCACATAAATCTCAAACACACAAGTTTTAACAAGGAGGGTAGCCTTTTCTCTGCCCCCCTGCTTTCTGCCTCTGAAATATGAGAGTAAGACCCCAAAATAAAAAAGGAACAGTGTCGATTTTTGTGGAGAGATGTGTCTATGTCTCTACCTTGGCTAACACGATCACCCCCTCCTGCGTCACCGGGTCTGTTTGGATGATAAAAGTGGAGCTTTCCTCCAGGTCATCCTCCAGACTGTAGGTCATTCTGGCGTTGATGCCGACGTCTCCATCCTGCGCCATAACTCTGCCCACCGTGGTGCCCACGGCGGCATTTTCAGGGACAGCAAAGGTGTAAAGGTCTGAAAAAAAGGGAGTGTTTGGAAAAATGATTCATGTAAACACCATCAGCCTGAACGTTAAAGGAGGATATCAAAGGGAATATGAAATCTAGATGATAACAAATTGGTGTTTTTGTAGTGAATACTGATAAGTTATGAACTCTCTGCACCTCCATTTAGAGTATTTTTCCTCCATACAGCAGCTCAAGAGTCAGAGCATAAGAAAAAATATCAAGTGACGTATAAGAATACAAACAATAGAGTGAGAAAAAAATCAATTTTTTAATGTTATTATGCTGGAGATTTAAGGACAGAGAGGTTAGAGGCACAAATGTACATAATTATACATATGTATTATTTTGTTCTGTGTTTTTGTTTCTAGTTTTTTAAATTTTTTGTCGCATTCTGAAAGTTTGAGATAAATAATGAAGAACAAAGAAAGAAAGAACAAAAATCTTCTTTTAGGCTCTAACAGTGTTAAAATAAACAGATTTAAATGCTGCCATCTTTTTTATCAATTCTATTTTTACATTAATGAAATCCATATTGACATCTATAAGCAAACAAGACCATTAGGAAAAGACTGGTAACTGAAGAAACAGCCATTTTTTTTTTACAATTTCTACTGAAATCTCATTTTTAATTCCATAAATGTCTTAAATAATTGCAGAAAACAGTTAGGCCTTGGTCGCTTTCATGTAAGTAAAGAGATACTCCATTATTTTTGAAGTGGGGCTGCATCCATTCCTGTGTTGTGTCTGCAAATCGAACAAAAACATTGATGGCCATGTGCTCTAAGTGGAGGCTACACTTAAACTAGGATAAGTGTTTGAGTCGGGGTCTCCAGAAATAAGCTCACTTACATGTAAAGGTCCTTACAAACTGGGAGCGTTTTTTTTTTCTTGCAATTATTTCAGACGTCAAATTTTTTTTCAAACCCATATCCTGTCAATACAAGCGTGCTTTTTGATAAAAGACAAATATTACAAAGGTAACAACCTGAAGGACAACTTGTGGAGAGTCATAGCGTCGGATTTCTCATATGACGATGGTTTGTGTGCTTTAACAGTTTGCTAAACATCTTTGTTTTAACTTTCATCTGTGCTAAGTCACTTTAGCTCGTAAGCTAACCTGTTCAGATACAACATACCATATATTGGTATGTTGTATATACCATATACCATATTTTCACTGTCTCAAACTCAATCGCGTTGCTGTCACAGCACCAGTAGGTCTCGGTTGTTACCTTACGTTTATGGATTATAGTTTAATGTGCTTATCTGCTACTGGGCCCGACTCAGTACATGCTATCATGACAGACAGACATCTCAACACTAGTGTCTAATCAGAACTGAAAACAGTCAGTCTGCTGTTGTGTCAGTCTTCTCGCTTCCACCCGGGACGCTTCTTTTTTTTCCCACGAAAAGTCGCAAAATTGCATCGGGCTTGATGTGTATAGTCAGGCGTGTCAAAATTCGCTTCTGAATATTTCGTAATTTCACGTGGTATATTTGCATCGTTCCCAGTGTGTAAGAGCTAGCTTGCATATCTGCTCCCCTGACGGTTTCTGACTACAACTAATTAAATATATAACCCCATTTAAAATAATAAACTATCCCTTTAAGGTTTGATATTTAATTGCATGTTAAAATTAGTTTGGATTTGAAAATTCATTTAAAATGATTGATATAAGTAAATAAAACAACAATATTATTTTTTCACATTTACATAAAAGATGATTTATATAAAAGATAAAATGACTGAATCATCACTTCAGAACTTGACAGGAAGTTGTTAATGGATAGCTGAGGGGGTGTGCTGGCGTGTAAAGTGATAAGAGGAGAAACGTTGTGTTTGAGGGTCAATTTGTGAGAGTCGGTGATAAACTGTGGCATCCCACATAATCCTGTCCCAACTCTAATAAGAAGATGAGAAAATGTGATTGTGTCTTTGAGGGACTCTATTTGGACATCTGCCACCACCGGGAGGAACTCGACATCAAGCAGCTGCTCCTGAGGAGGAGGAGGAGGAGGAGGAGAAAAAAACCTCCCAGATAATCATTTGTAATTATGGGACAAAACAGAGGGCAGAGTTCAAAGAGGAGTGCAGGCATACAATATTTATAAGACCTCTGGACTGAGCGTGGAAACAAGAGGATACAGTAACACCAGCGATGAATGTGAATATGACATTAATAGTTAAAAGTCTCATCTTTGCTGCCTCATTTCTGCAGAATTGATTTCTTCCCAGGGCATTCATTTAGTGAGGTTTATCGCTGAGCAGGCTAGGTTTGTTTCCAAAGGTCATGACAAATGTCCTTTCATCTGTGAATGATTAAATTCATCCAGCGGGGGACACATGAACGTGGAAGCATCCCCATCTCCCCACTCTCTCTCTCTCGCTCTCTTTCCTCGTTCTTCGGCTGTCTTCTTTTAATTTTAGCTGCCGTCTGAATAACATGAAGTGTACAGCCGAATGCGGCGCTGGCAGCACAAACCACCCACCCGAACCGGAGAAGTGTGATCAAATAAATGCCTCTTAGGTGTAATATTAAACATGTCCTCGCAGTCTGCAGCGCTTTGTACTCTTCCATTGATTCCCTGAGTGTGTGTGTATGTGTGAGAGTGTGTGTGTGTGTTTGCATCATTGAGAGTGACTCACGGTGCTGGAATGTGGGTCCGTTGTCGTTGACATCAGTTAGGCTGACAGTGACGGTAGTGGAGGAAGAGTACCCGCCACTCAGGCCCAGCATATCTTTCACCTGCACCACCACCAGGTACTCCTCCCTGGCCTCACGGTCCATGTTTGGCCAGGAGGTGACAATAATTCCTGCGGATAATTACAGAGCGTCATTAAGACAGCTTACAAAGTGTCTGGAGGTGGTTTTATATCTCTTATTTTCATGAGAATGTGAGCTAACAAACTTTGCCTGGAGTCGTCTTAGTAAGAGCTGCACTCTGCAAATTTGATCAATAACTAAAGAAATACAGAGAGGGTTTCTGGATGATTTCATGATCAAAGTCAAAGCTGCAGGCAACGATAAATAGAAAGACAGTTTTTGCCTTGAAAGCTATCATTTCATCAATTGTGTCACTGGATCTTTGGCTGAGATGATATAAACTTTTCAGAAACCATTCACAAAAGTAACACATTCTCGTCTTACCTCTCCGTCACGGACACATTCAACCTACTCGAGGACAAAAACGGCTTATTTTCAAGTGTGAGACAGAAATTTTCTTTGTTTTTCTCTGTGAAAAGACCCTGAACCACGATCAGCTTGACTGACTGACTGATTGATTGATGTCTTTGTTTTCAACATGTTGATAAAAGAAAGAGCTAAAAAACAAAAATAGAGCAACAGGACTGTCTTTGGTTATCTGGTTTACACTGTCAATAAAATTTTTGGTAACACTTTATTTGACGCCTTTCTCTATAACGCATTATAAATATATCTATAATGCATTATAATCACATTACAGCACTGTATAACTATAGGTATAAACACTCATAAATGATCATAATGCTTTAAAACGCTAATCATAACACGATATAAAGCATTTAATCATGACTAACAAGGTCAGGTATTGTAATGTGTTATAACTATTAACAACTCACTGACAATGCCCACATAGATAATGCATATACATATATTATGATGTGTTATAATTTGCTTATTAACTTGTATAACTATCATTACCTGACCTTGTAAGTCATGATAAAATGCTTTATAATGTGTTATGATTATTGCTATAAATCATAATGATGATTTATAAGTGTTTATAACTATAGTTATACAGTGCTATAACGTGATTAAAATTCATAATATATGTATTTATAATGCGTTATAGAGATAGGAGTCAAGTAAAGTGTTACCAGTTTTTTCAACACCATCACACTGCTTTGTTTGAGGTTAGCGTTTTATAACATTTTCCTGCTTTTAATTGTCTGCGTAACCAAAAAACATGAATCATAAAAATCTGGAGTGACATTAGACCAAAATTTTACATCAGTCCACAAATTTGTGCTCAAGCTGGTGACAAATTGACTGCAGCTAATGTATGTGAATGTATGTTTGTTAAGATTCATGTATATATATGTGGGTAAGTAAATATATATTTTTTAAAATATATATATTGGTACAAAAGCTCTTTGGTAAGTGTCTATAATTGCACATTTATATATAAACAAAGTTGACCTGAACTGTGTTGCCAACTCCTCTGTAAGGAAAGTCGCTGGTTGCTGTTGTAAAAGTCGCTTAATGATACCGTTGCCTTATTTGCATAATCTTAAAGTATGTGTATGTTTACTGTTGATGCACTGCTACCCGTTGAGATAAATTACATCGAATCCTGCTTTCACATCAGAGTGTCTGAACTCCAGAAAAAAATCACTACATTTGTTGCTAGGCGCTTTTTTAAAAATAAGTCGCTAAATCTAGCGACAAACCCGCTAATTTGGCAACCCTGGTTCAGACTGTTGCATACAGGTATAGATAATGAACTTACATATTTGTAGATGTAAGTTTATATTTGTGAATTATTATCAGTTGGCACAGAGAATATGTGATACATATTGAAAGGTAGATAAGTAATGTACAGTATTGTCCTAAGGGATTTTTTAAAGGCACAGTAGGTAACTTTTGTGTTGTGCTGATTCTGGCAACTCCACTCTAGCGAAGAAGGGAAAACTCCCTTTTTGATGACTTTGTGTAAGAGTGGGTTGCTGTTCTGTACGACTTCAGTCAAACATTACAGTGCAAATGTTCAATATCATTTTTCTGTGCTCTGATAAAGTTCATAGTTTTTTATTTATTTATTTTTTTTAGTTTTTAGATATCAGACGTTATTAATAAACATCTTCCCACAGAGCTGTTGATCATGGGTTTTATTATCTATGATATTTATGGGATGTATTAGTTTAGCTCATAAAACCAAAACCATAAAATATCTCCAAACTTATCTTCGCAGGTTAACTGAAGCCACGAGCAAAACTACAACCGAGTGTTTCTGAGTCAACTGCTGCCCACTCCTCGACAGAAACTTACTCTCAGCTCCCTAAAAAGTCAGATTTGCCCTTTTACTTATTGGATTTATTTGCATTTAAACATTTTTTTTTTTTTTTTGACGTCAATAATTCCCTCCCTCAACTCCTCAAAGTTCAGGTCAACAATGTGTGTGGGAAGCGCTGAATCTGACCTCGGTAATACACGAGCAAATAATGGAAATGGAAATGTACATGCGTCGGTTAAAGTCAGAGCATCTTCTTGGGTGTAAGCACTTTTCCCCGTGGTTGGAAAAAGCAGCTGAATCTGTGAAGAGTTGTGGGAGATAAAGTTGCCAAGGGATTATAAACTACTCTTAAAGTGAGAAAGAGTGTCCGACTTGTCAAGAGTGACAGGGACCAGAGGGACAGAGCCTGGAGACAAGATCGTTTCCTGTCACTGTGGCCTTAAATATCAACATTTGTGCCTCCAATCTTAAGCTAACTTACTTCCCATGCAGTCTAATATGTGTTTTTTTTTTTAATAGTACCTGTCTTTGGCTCCACAGAGAAGTAGGGCTCCCCCTGCAGGATGGAGTAGATGAGCTTGGCGTTGTTTCCGAACATTGGATCATCAGCATCTGTGGCTGTCACCTGGGCCACTGTGGTCCCTGTGGGGGGAGCGGATCACACAGTCGGAGTTAGCTCAGGCTGCAGTTCCAGTCGACGGGGAAATAAAGTGATTATGCCACAGTCCCGCAGGGTCTGTCTGTCTGGCTCTGGGGGGGGAGGAGAAGCAGTGCAAATGGAAGATGGGGAAGGGGGAGGGCGAGGTTGTGGTGGGGTTAGAGGAGGGATGTTGACAAAAGAGTGGGGAGGCGGGGGGAAGGGGAGGAGAGCAGCATTGGCCTTTCACAACTCAGTAAGGCTGTGCAGGTGTGTGTGACAGCCTCTCCAGCCCCACAGCGACGTCTCTCTCTCCATCCACCTGCCCCTCGATTTCTCTACGTCGCACTCTGATACGGTTTCGCCTCCCTATCTTTCGCACTTGCTCCCCTTTTCTCCGCCGACCGTATCCTTCTTCTCACCTTGCTCTCGACGCTATCTCTCCCTCCCTCAGTCCTCTTGTCTATCTTGTCCTTTTTCTCCCAGAGAGCACTCTGTCTCTCTCACAGGAGGGGAATTTATCGCAGGATTTCTTATTTTCAGTCACCGGCACTCAGACCTCACGCTCTTTCTCCCTCTCTCTGAGTCAAATGCTTTATGATTTATTGCAAGCCTGATATTATGCTTCAAAAGCAGATTACATATAAATTGAAATGGTAATGTTTATGGTATGAAAGGGCAGTGCTTATAATAACATTATTTTAGAAATTTAAGGCCTCTGTGCTAGCGTTCAGAATCTAATACTCCTGACTTCCTGAATGGGGACAGATGACAGACATTCATATCGTCTCTAAGTTGTTGTCTTTGGGCAAAACTTAAGCTCATGAAATTCAATTGATCCCTTCAAACAACACAGCTAATGAGTTTTTTTATTGTCAATAAAAACAGTTGGCTATCTTTGTCAGGGAAACAGATATCTTGATGAATATCACCTTTAATACCTCTGACTCCACAAATCATAAACAGCAGCTGCACTTTTAAAGTTGTCCTTCGCTAAGATTAAAGCTCCTGCAAGGATTTTTTTTTATTATTTATTGAATAGATTATTGTGCTCTTATTCATAAGTTTATAAGCCACTAGATCAACTTTACTCTGAAGACTTAAGAGAGGTTTCCTTTTTTGTCTAACTATATTATCTATAGGATATTAGCCATTTAATGCCTTTTGTATCATCTTTGATACACACTTTAAAGATACTTCTATCAAATAAATTCAATCAACAAATTACTAAAAAAAACACCTAAATACAGTCCAATCAGTTTCCAAAAACATCTGATGTATCAAATGAGATAAATATATATTTGTTAAATTTTAAGACATTTTATTTTTTCTAGTTTTTAGTAGTAAGTGAAATAAACATTTCAGCTCCAAAAAAAATTTGAATTTTCTGGTCATAATCATTTACACTAAAAAAGGTACATTTGAGGTTAAAGGAGACGATAATAGTTCTTTATTTTTAGTGTTGAAGATTTCAGAATTTCAAATGATGGCGCTAAATTCAAAATTGGAGTGTCCTGGTGTAATTAAAGTTCAATTTTTGACCAAATCTGAACCATGCAGAGCTTTGCTGTCCCCAGTTAAACTACAATGAACATCTGTCTGAAATCACTTTATTGTATTGTACTGAAAACTAAGTCTGAATTAGAGCTGAATTATATCACTTCCACCCTCACTGATACCCGTCACATGCTGTGTCACTCAGATACTTTGGATACTTTGGTGCTCGATTTCTGGAGCCATGGGCCTCCAACAACCATCCTCAACAAGGACCTTGTACCCATGTTTAACATCACTTGGGATCCCAAAATGCTAACACAACCAGAGTATTTACTTTAGGAACTAAACCAGGTATACTGCAGGGACAGGAAATTTGTCATTTAGTCAGGCGTTACCAACACAGGGCTTGTTACGCAGTTTAAGCATAACTTCTAACATCGACAGAGGTTGTCGGTTATGTGTTAGTAAGAACAGATTACATGGTAACATTTTGCTCTGTCATCTCCTAGTCTCAGAGCTGCCATAAGGGTGGGACACACAGGGATATAAGTGGGGAGGTTTAGTTAAAGACAAAAGGACACTGAAAAGCTCCAGATTGTGAATAGTATTAATATTTGTACAGAGTTTTATAAAGTAGAAAGCTAAAACTTCATCCTGCGTTTATAATTGTGACTTTTACTTTTCACCCTTGTCCTTCTAAAACGTACCGGTTGGACACATCTCAGGGATGCTGGACACATACGGTTCGTTCTGGAACTGTGGGACATTGTCGTTGATGTCCTGAACCTTGATGATGAACTCAGATTCGGGTTCCTCTGGCTCATTGGACCTCCTGTTGATAGCCTGGGCTCGTAGGACATAGAAGGCCTTTTCCTCTCTGTCGAGCTTTTTCAGCGTCCGAATCTCCCCTGAAAACTCATCTATCTCGAATACGTCGCCAGCGCCTTCTCCTAACAGGATGTACTTGATGGAAAAATCGCCTCGGTCAGAGTCGGACTTTAGCTGCAGAGAGAGGAGAGAGGAAATGAAAGCTTGTTTTATCTCAGAGGTAACCAAAAGACACGCATTTTCAAAGGAAAGTAGCGTATCAAGGGCATGGAGGACATTCAATCTGAAGCAGTACCTGGCCAATAACTTGCAGAGTGGGATCTTCCTCCGGGACAAACAGCTGTTTCCAGATCCAGCCTCTCTTCAGGCGACGGTGCAGATGAGGGGACCCCTGGGCCATTTGTTGGGCTTCCAGGCCTTTAGTACCTCTTATATCACTCAGCACCCCGCCAGGGATCATCGAAAAGACCGTCACCATGGCCAAAACACTGGGCACGCTCATTTTTACTGACCAGCCATGCATTTCCTCCACACTTCCCATGGTTTGTGGACAAAAGAAAGAGGTCTCACTAGTTCCAGCGCACCAACTCTTCATTCAACGGCACAATAATTCATGATCCTGGCAGCGCGCTGTCCCATCTTCTTAGGAGGCGGTTTGTATGCATGCTCATGTCTCTGAAATAAAAGTTAACAATTTAATTAATGGCTGCTGTGAGGACTTTCAGCGAGGCGCGGGGATTGCAAACTGAGAAATGGAGATTTGTGGCAGTTCATCTAACAAGTCCAAATATTCAGCCTTTAATTTCACAAAGCCTTTTATACGTCAAATTTGAGGAATACATTTCAATTTACAAAGCTGCAGTTCAAAGCTGTGCATTAATTTCTGAAATTGAAGGTGAATTTTAAGTGTATGAAAAGTAAATTTAATTTGAAGTTTGGATTTCGGCATAATGGGAATATGAAAGAGCCACTAACTTGTAACTCAGACGCTATTTCTGCAGTGAATCCAATACAAGAAAGGAAGCAGAGTTGTTAATTTTGGAGGAAAATCTCATCATTGTCCTATTTGTGATAGTTATTCAGACTTGACTGTAAGTGTTGTGTCTGAAAGCATTCAATAATATCAAGGATTAGAAGTTTGAATACATTGGATTATATTGTGTTTTTGTGGTTTAGGATGAACTATTGAACTATCCATCCATGTCTTTAAATAACGGCCCATTCGACCATTATGTTGAGTTAATGATTCATATTTGGGGATTTATTCATCAATTTTTGTCTTGAATGGATTTAGCAGTTAATGTTAGCTAACTGTAATGTGTTGTAAAGTTTCACAACAACCAATAACTGATCTACTTGACTACAAGTCGTAACAGTAAAGACAGAAAAGTGAGTTCTAGTTAATGCTGAAAATTAAACTCTGTAATGCAAACAAGCTCAAGAATTTTACATTGCTTGCCTATGCTAGCGTAATTGCTAATGCTAGTTTTCGGCTTCAGGTGTTTCATCTTGAGTTTGGTGAGTAAATATGTTATTCTTGTGCATTATTGCAGCCATGTACAACCAACATGGGGTTATCTACAGTGAAGTACTTCTATACATTTGAACGCTGAGCCAATTTAGCCATACGTCGGAGCCGAGGTCAACCTCCTCCCCCTGTGGTATCAATTTGATTTTTTTCATTTTTCATACTTTATTTCATTCAGTTAATATTTAAAACATTCAATACAAACAAGAAAAAATCTCAAACATGTGAATAAGAAGCAGAAAGAAGAAAACTCCTATGGAGTCTGCCTCTCTTTCATAACATATTAATCAACTAGACACACGATAAAAATAAAACAAGAGCTGCAGGACAACATACCTTTTTACAGTTCATTATTTCTTATTTTTCAAACATGTTTCAACATGTAACAAAGATATTGACTTTTGAATTAGTTGGTTGAATTATCTATAAAGTTAACATCAGCTGAATGTGAACACTTAAAATAACAAACAAAAGCTAAACATTAAGGACAAAGCAAACAATGACACTCATTTAAGAAGCATAGAGTTGAATAACATTAAAATGACTTTGTTTACTGTATAATGTGGTGAACTGCGTGGGCTGTACAGGCCAGATAAAATACTGGAAACTACAGCTCTATATCAGCTTTCAGATGACATTTTCCATTTCTGTCTATCTGAAGACTGACTAAACCTCACAAGAACAAAAATAGACGTGGAGCAAGAAAAAGCAAGAAACTCTGAGCAGAATTTCATTGTCTTGCATCCTGCAGTCCAGCACAGACGGCTGAAAACATCCCTCTGTTTTGAATTCAGACAAGGCCTTGTATTGTGTTTCACCAGAGGTGGGGGGAGGAGAGCCGGGCCTGAACATCATTCCTTAAGCATGACACTGCACTCTGCAGCTGACTAATGAAGACTTCTAATTAGATCAATGTCTCCCCAGACATGGAAAACAGAGACACACACACATGCCTCTGACAAAGTATGAGTCAAATCGATGCTCCAATTATAATGTGCACCAAGATCAGGGTCAAGAGAGTGAGGACAGGGAGAGGCAGATGAGACGGCAAATTAGTTTGGACAACACAGATACAGTAACAGGAGACGACATTACTACCAAAGACATGAACTTCGACAGATGTATCAGCTGTATACTTTCACATGTGGTTTTACAGTAGCCCTCATATTTTCCCTCTTCTCTGATCGTTATCGTGTTAATTTTGTCTGTGTCAAAGCAGTCTTATCACACATTCAACTCTGTGTTAAAGAGGGCAATCAGTAATGCACAGGCGTGATGGATATAAAGACATCTGCTCTGCTTATAGAAATGATCCGCTCTTTTCAAAGGAGAAAACTTCTCTTCCTCTTTTTTTTGCTGCTGCGTTGGCGTATTGTCTTACTTTGTCTTTCAATTTTCTATCATTTCTGTCTCCCATATTGTTGTCCGTATGAAAAGCGATGCAAATTATTTGTCTAGACATGAATCCTTGAGCGTAACTTTTCTGTTCATCGCCGAGCAACAACCAGCACTCAGCAGGATCAGGGCTGCAGTCTTGTATTTTTGACACAATAATATCATCTTATTATATAATTTAAAAAGCACAATGTGGGTGCTTTAATCCACAGGATGTGAAGTTCATACATTTCTAACATAGGTGGTCCTGGTGGAAATTAAAAATATACCGCAGGAGTTTGAGTATTAATGCTTTAACAGCTCATAATGTTCATGTTTAATCTTGTAAAAGTAAATTAGCCGTCAAGACCCATTTGTAATGAGCTGGTACAATCAATTACTGATGTGGGCTTTTGTTGCTGGGATTCAATTTCGATACAGAACTTGAATGAAAGTACGTGTTTGTGCTTCTGTACCTCTTTACGGGGCCGTTTTCATATCTCCGAGCGTTGCGGAGTGACATTCCAATTAGTGGCCAGTGAATCGTGAGCCGTTATGGTCGTACATAGGGCTGCCAAGCACGCGCCCAAACTGAACGCCTCGAGCCAAAACTAGACAACAGCCCTCGATGATGTTACTCGCAGCAACTGCACAGCTGCCAAGATGCCAAGGAGTCTGCTTAAAAATCATCCTGGGGGTATAAGGCTTCACTGATGTGGCTGAAATAGTGCACAGGTCAACAGATGTTTAGGTGCCAATTTAACAAGACGGGCCTTTCTAGAAATAAGTGATGAAATTCTGGGGAAATAATGAGTGCAACCCCCTAAAAAAAGAAGGGGGAAAAAAACTCTATCTGTCAACAGCAAAGGTATTTGGGAGTAAGTAAAACACATGCCCATGCATGACAGCTAGCTTGATGGTGCTTGACAATAATGATGACCCTGCCGGAGTTTGATTTCAAAAGCAGGGAATGTAGCAGTAAAGCTTTCATGATTTAAAGCCATTACTTTACATTTCCAGGTGTATATGGTGGGAGAAAAATCAGCAGGAACCAAAAATATAAGAAAAGAAACGCCATTGAACTCTATGGTCAATTTTCCCCTTTCAAAAGAAAATCTCATTTCAACATGACACGCGGTACATGCAGAGTGCCCTGTGGTTGACAGCCATTCATTACCTCTAATAGGCCTTCCTACCATTTCCAGCCGACTTCCTGTAGCCTGTATGTACTGAGCGCCGCTCTACCACATGACAGAATGACAATGAGCTGCAGTCTCACAATGTTAAGCACTAGATGCGCTGAGACCGTCACATTATTTTCCTATATGGTGATGTGTTCTAGCTAATAAAATGTCGCTCTGTTGTGGAAATGGTTCCGGGGTGCTGTTAAAATGTGTCTAATGTGCCAATGCAAATGCTAAAACAGGGTGATAAAGAGAAAGGCAGCTTCTGCCTGACATTGAGGATGACTCAATCAATATCAATCTGCGGCGCAATCGCTAACTGCTAAGGATGCTAACATAATCTGAGGATTAATAACACGGCTCTTTGTGCATTCATCTTCAGGCTCAGGGTTATAAATAAAAACAAAAGGGTATGTTAAAAATGTAAAGGATAAAAAAATGTGTTTACTCAGACTTCAAAGTCGTTTTTCATCATTATCTTGCAGTCTTAAACAAAACCATCCGTTAGGCCCCGCTTCTCCAAGATCACCCTGCCACGACAAAATGTCCTTAATTGGTCATTGGGGAACCCATCATGAGACTTGTTTACTGTTCAGCTCTGTAAAACAACAACCCTGACTGACATGCAGTTCATGTTTCCCAAATCAGGTCCTCAAATGAGTCCAGAGACTCCTTTCGAACAACAGGGGAATGTCAAGACTTCATGTACTCGCAAGTAAGTAATTTGTTTGACTTTATTATGTGCACAAGTGGAAATCATTACTGGTTAGCAGAGTGGCACGAAACTTACGCCGACATTCAGGAGTACATGCTAGTAATTGTCTCCTCTTTCATGGTATACGATTAACAGATGCAGCCTTAATTATGACTAAAGAATACAAAAAAATAGATGTTAATACAGGAAATTATCTTAAAAGAGTCGAACAGTTTTGAGTGAAGGACGATTTGAACGACATTACGCAAAAATGTACTTTTCGTCTTCTGTAATTCTCTTTATGGGCTTCAATACTGGGATTGTAATCGAGTGACATGTCATGTAAGCATTTTTTAGACATTTCATTATTTCACAAAGGTTTTCTCTCTGTGTACTGAAGGTTGTATTGTAGATCTGTGGAGTATTTTTAGCGCACTATAAGCTGCCCCTGAACATACCTGAATATGTCAAAAATACCTATGTCCATGATCAGGGCTTTAAGTGAGCTGTATGTTTTGGTACAGTACAGCTACTTTTAAATTTAACCCCTTAGTGTGCTGAGACATCTAACCAGCTGCCAGTACATTAACCTGTTGACATCTTAATATTATGTTTTCAGGGCTTGGACCATTTTGTACGATGGCAAAAGGCTCAAATGGCTTAGTTGTATCGTATGAATCTATATTCCATAAGGTGTTGGTTCCTCTGCAGGTGGAGGTTACTGCCGGTGTTGTGCTGGCATCAAAGACAGACAAGGTGCTCATCGGAGCTCGACTCCCTCTGAATCTCAAATGTTGATCATCAGTTGGATTGTTTTCTTGAGAAACCACAAAATCCCTCTAAATGGCCCACTGATGAACCCACAGATAACTCTGCAGTTGACCAGTTCAGACATTTCCCCCTCCACAAAAGCAGCTTTAAGACTTTGTTTACTTTATGACTTTATTCTCGTAAGTAATTATTATGACTTCATTCTCGTAAATAATGATTTTACTGCGACTTTGTTCTCTTAAGTAGTTACTTAATTATGACTTTATTCTTGTAAGTTATGACTTTAATCTCGAAGTCTTATTTTTTTCTTAATGTGGCCCCAATACTCTGTCGTAATTTTGATCGTAAAAACTTAATTTTTGTTGCTTTAAATATTTCGGAAAATTTGTGTAAAAGCAAATAATATTCGTGGTGTAACCTTTTTTTTTTCCTGACTCTATAAAAAGACTTCATTATACAGGGACCAGTTGTCTTAAAGGCGGTGCATTGTGAAATGAGTTAAGAGCGGCGTGTGCCTCTGAGCTGTTTTACGGTATCAAACACTTAAGTAAGCTTAACCTTCGATGCTGATTCAGAATTCCAGTCACTCCCCTTAACTTAACATAACGGAGAGCTAACTCGTGCTGAAGAGAGGAAAGAAAAAGAGAAGATCAGGAGACATGGAGGGATTAATGTCAGGTTACCAAAAATATAAGTCCTTTGGTTGATGATGGCGATGTGGTGAGTACGAATACACCAGGGGCGTTTTTTGGGGGGAGAGTGCCTGAAAGACTACAAACAGCAAAGAGACAATGCACAAAGTTCACCTCTGGGACAAAGGTTACTCTGCATTCGCCACGAAACTTATCAATTCAAACACATTCATCAAGGAGCTCCATAATTTTCAGTGTGTAACGTTTTGTAAATGGAAGTCCGACTGCTACCAAGTATAAAAGTTCACCCTGAGTCCCGGGTTTTGATTTGATTAATCACCTGAAATACATAAACTGATAAATGACACTAGAGTCCTTTCACAGGCATCACACGACTCTCACTCGTCTGTTTCCGCTGATGTAAAAAGAGCATTTTTTCCTCTTAAAGTACTGCCTAAAACCAGGCAGCAAAAGCAAAGCTACAAACAGGTGAAATAATCATTTGACAATAACTGATTTCTGAAAAGGATTTCAGGCACAGCTTCCAAAGAAAGCTCATGTTTCATCGCTACAAACAACGGGGCCTGAACACAAAGATCAGAGACTCGATATGGGCTGGAAAATCAAGAGTGTGGCATCAAATGGAATACTCTTATTTTTTCCCAGTTACATCATACAGTTAGATCCACTTTGACTTCACTTCTCCACTGAATTAAAACCATGTCACTTATTTTAGATAATACAACACTGAAAAGCTCACAGCCACTTCTAAAAGTGGGAGAAATGCGCTGATTTGTTCTTTGACAAACACAAAGAACTCATGGACTGCTCTTAAGTTGTTTGCCACTTCTATCCTGAAAGACCTTCTCTGTTTGTATTTCTTCCCTGAAAAAAAAAAAAAAAAACCATGAAACTGCTTCTAATTGTCTTCCTCCAAAAGATCACCAGTTAAAGGATGCACGGTAGGCTCTAACACACCCACCTCTTTATGTGATGCTGCTGTCCCTCGAACCACTTCACCAAACGCCGTCAAGAGAGATCATCACGGGGTGTAAAGAAACGCAATCTGCTTGACTAAATACCCTGGTACTGGAAAGCAATTCAGTCAGCACAATAGCTGAAGCGAACACGCGTGGTTCTCACAATGTGTAATCCCCTCTGCTGACGACCTCCCCTTTTCTTCTTCTTCTCTCCCCTTTTCTGCCCTTTTCAAACTTCCTGGAGAAGAACAAACACAGGCTCTATTGTCCAGGACTCGCATCTCAACACCGCAGAACACTCAGGGCCTTCATTGCCATGCAAATAGTAGCAGGCGAGACTCACAAATGGATTTCTATCTTTTCACCCTCTCTGGTTTTTCCTCCCCATTTTGGTGAACAATCCTTTGCTTATTAGAGTCTGGCTGAAGCATGGAGGGGATGTTAAATCATCCACTGTAGGACCACTATTTCTGAAAGTGATACGAGCAACAGTCTGTTTTTGACATTCAGACCAGCGAGCGCACTGTTCCTGCCTGCCCCTTCCTGCCCCTTCCTGATACCGTCACATTTGAAAAAACTGACCTGTTGCGACACAGCGTATGCAAATTACCGGAGATGTTGATCAGAGCTACAGTGAAGAAAAGGGGGGGTTTGAACTCTCCGTTGCCTCAGCTGCACTTTAGTGGGCCCTTGAGTAGGGGCGCCACAGAAGGAGAGATATGTTGTGATGGTTTTAAATGTCCGTGACTAACAGGGGTCTTAAAAGGTAGAATATTAGTGGATGTAAAGTGCTGGGGCCCCATTAGATGTTTTCACAGGGTCCAAAATTCCAGGCGGTGTCCAAGTGTAAAGTTGGAACGAACTCGTTGGAAAAATCTGAGAAAAATTATGAATTTTTTGGTACAGAACAGAAAAGAAGAACTGGCAAATGTAGATTTGTTGATGCACATATCACATAAAAAAAGTACTTTTTTGATAAATTAAAAAAAAAACTTTAATGGATATTGCGGCGTAAAATTAATTTAGGGTCAAACACACCGTAACACCGAGTAAGACACCCTCTCGAGAGATGAATGTCGCCGACCGCTTGCTTCTCTAGTTATATCAACTTTAGTAACTTTAGTAGTTCTTCTGCCTTAGCGTCTCGGTCTGATTGCATTTCCATAAAGAAATGATCATAAATGTTCTTCTTTGAGCTGCGTCCCCCCACAGCAGTCGATGGACTCACACAGCTACGCAGACCTTCAACATGTGTTATGACTTAAAGTCTCGAGTCCTGAATTGTCCTGGCATGGATATAAAGCTCTGCAAAAATACATTTAAGCACTTTTTCTTGCAAAGATTGGTAGTTACCCTTTTATGTTTACTCCCTCGTCGACATATCCTTGAATCCCACAGCAGCTTCACCCTCTTTTTACATTATGTCAGTCTTCAAATTCCCTTTAACTTTCCGAAACTAAACATCCAAAAACTGACCCGTTGGTTTCAGAGTAAATTCCACATGACTTGTTTCAAAGTCAATCCTGGTTTTATTTGATTTAGGGGGCAGCTGTGGAGCTAAAAAGTGAAGAACAAAGTGCCCCTCCAACTCCGTCTTTTGAAGCACACCTCAAAAGCCTCGATCAAAGCCCGTCGTCTTTCTTTGCCTTTTAAAGAAGCTGGGACTGAACCTGTGCTTAAATGTAATTGTTTACATGTTTCTTTCTTTTATCTTGACATTTGTTTCTGATCAGTGTTTCATTTTTTCTTGTTTTCAGTTTCATTTGTGAAGCACTTCGGTTAGCTCGCTCAGCGCTAGGAGTGTGACAAAAACAGATTTCCCTCTCCTCGATAATTATACCGTGTCTTTTCTTCCTGCATTTATTCCACATGATCTCTGTAAGCCTTTAAAACTTTCACTCAAGCTGTTAATTGTCTCAAGGTGGAACAATTTAGTGACTTTTCAAACACAAGATAAAACGACATTTGAGCTAATTTTAGCAGCACAGAGACAATGACATTAGCACGTACAAGAGTTCAGTGTTTTTATGTTGAGCTGCTCAAGTTTCTCCAACTCATTATGAAAGTTTGATCGAGTTTAAAGAACTACATGTGACAATGTTGGCAGACTTTATCACTGACATGAAGTTTTCACTCAGCTGCTCCCACTCTGCTGGACTATCAGGTTTAAGGAGAGCTTTCTTGCCGCTCTACTGTCAGGATTCACTGTCCTAGATTTGAATCTTCATCATCGTACAGGATCTACAGCATTCGGAAGTCGGAATATCTGAGCTCTGAGTCGGAAATTCATCTGGAACGCCCCCCTTAAGTCGGATTTCCAACTCGGAAAGTTGGACGATCTTCACCAACCCCGACTTGACGACAATGTCATAATTAAAGATGGCAGCGCAGTGCATCAACAGTTAAGAGTAACAGTAAAAGGTCTTGTAATGTATTATTTATAAGCACTTCTGTTTTGTTTTTGTGAAATTAAATAAGCGGTTTATGTTGTACTGCCCAACGTCTAACTGTGAACACAGGAGTAAAATACTATGTTATGTGTTGTTTACAACTAATATAGCTAACAACAGCTGACAACCGCTAACAACAGTTAACGGTAGACGTGTATCTTGGTTTTCCGACTTGTTTACTGGAACCCCATCATCTTGGTTGTAACGTCATTCCCAGCTCTGACTTCTGAGGTAACTGGAACGCAGCATAATTAGTCAAAAACCCTTATTTATTGGATACAGTGACTTATGACTTAGAGCCCTACAACTTAGAGCTCCCCCTGCTGGCTGGCTGCAGAATGGGCCTAGAATCATAAACTTGTGTCCCTAGTGTAAAAAGATGGCACATGAGCCAAACTATTAAATTAAAATGATACTTTTTTTTTTTTCTGACGAATTTGGTTTGATTTTTAAAAAGATGGAAATTAAGGTTACTCTAATAGCAGTTTATTTTTCACCGTTATTGTTGAACTTCTTAACAGTTAAATATATGTAGCTGTATTGCGACATATCAACTTGTACATAGAGGAAACGCTCACTGAGTGGTCTAAGAAATGGGTAAACAGCATTTGCTCCCAGTGTTTGTGGTCACTCCAATTAACACAAGTTAAAAAATAATCATTCATCGTTGATTGTTTTTGATTTAATGACCAATAACCTTTAGGATAAATTACCCAGAGAGCCTTCATTACACGTTTCTCATAAACATGCCAACCTCTGAGGGCTAATTACAAACTTTAACAATGCTAATAGATTCAATAATTAAAATGCTCTGGAGCAGCAAAGCTAGCATTGTTGGGTGTAAATGTCTCCGAAGTCGCCCTTCTCTCACAGCTTTGTGACAGGGTGGAATTTGTTATTTAGGAAGTTGAGATTAGTTCTCCCTGTGAACTTCGCCGCTCCCATTCTGATTCCATATCAAACAGAGAAATGTCAGGACCTGCACTGTGACATTTAAAACCCCCATTGTAGACCTTGTCTAATTGAACCTCCCTCATTATAATGATGGAGTGTGGACTGAACACTGCAAAAAAGAATATCACAGATGAAAGCTTGGGTTTTGTGCCAGCAAGGATTATTTACATTCCCCGCTCCCCTTTTCTTCCCTGACGAAGCCGTGAATCCGACTATCTCTCGGTCTCTGGTGACATTTCCGGGCTGTCAAATAATAGGTGACAGAGTAATGGTCAGCATCTTTGCGACAAGATAAAGGTGAGTCTGGTCAAATCAGCATTCACGGGGATGTCATGTTGTATAAATAATGCAGGCGGTAATGGGGGTATACTGCTTGTATTATTCACTATCAGTGGAGGCATCATTCCCTCGACGGGAAGCATATGGAGGCGATAATGATGCTCTGACATTAAACGTAGGATTTGACACAGAGAGACGTTTTTCACATCTCTGATGAAAGTAGCTCCTCCGGCTAATGTTTTTCAATTTTTCCTGTTTGAAAGATGAGTTATGTCTGTTACTAAGCTCTGCCCCATTGTGGGTTTTAAGTTCACAAGTTCACGCTCAGGAGAGATTCATCGTTGAACTGTATGATGCTTGGTTGTGTTGTGCCCTTCGCGTTCTTGTAATTGGAAGAGGAATAAAGCGTCATTGGCATTCGGCTCAGGCCACTGTGGTGAATTTGATGAGAATGTCACATTAAAAATGCATGTTCCTCATACGTTCTTTGGCCTTTGTCTTTAGCCATGGGAAACAGCGGACACTTATGACAAATAAGGACGGGGCTGACGCCGCCTGAGGTGAATCTCTGTTTTCGACAGGAAACATCAGCGTCTCTCCACGCAGCATCTGCCTGCCTCCTCCACATGAGACTGTTCATTTATCAACTGGGTGGGCTGATGGGGTGGAAAGAAATTGGGTCATATTAAAAAAAAAGTTACATAATGAAAAAATCCAAGTAGATACTTTATCTGTTTTCATACGTGGATTTGTTTCTCAATAATGGCAAACTTTTTCTAAAACTGTGAATCTGCTTCTTATACATAAAAGTAAAGTAAAACTTCTCAATAACTTTTGGAATATAACCTGTAGAAAAAAAAAACTATTATATCCCTGCATCTTATAACTTTTCTGCAACAAGCAATCACCTGCACACCAAGACAAGAATTTGCTTTCATCATGAAAACGTTGAATAGTCATAAGCAAAAATGAAGATGGAAGGTTGTAATCGTACAGTTTTTAAAGAGTTGGACTTTTAGCTTTTGGAAGTTGATGCATACTTCAATTTTACAGAGACAGAATTAATAAAAGCAATAAATTCGGCCTCTAAAGTTTTTTTTTTTTTTTAATAAACTAAATTCATCTGTGTAAACATTCAAGAAAATCATTTGACAGTGGTGCCACAAGTATCTGTTATTGCTCGTGTCTTGCTATGCACGTTTTTCAGGGACAAAGTTACTGCCAAATTCTACCAGATTCTTGTCTGGTCTGTCAAAAGGTTTTTACTTTAATCAATGTGTTGACTTCCTCTGGCTCCACTGTGTTGTATTTCTGCTCTGTCTCAGCTTGAGCAATCTGTCGCCCTCTGCAGCAGGTACTCAAGGCTTCGATTTCTGTGGGACGCTGGAGGGCATATCAAAGAAGATAGTCACTTAACTACACCAACAAACTGCCAAAGGGAGCTGAGCCAGGCCTCCAGTCAACAATTTAAGGGTTTTCAGAGGTTTATGGATGTAGAAAACTACTTATTCTATATTTCACATGGGAAATCCTCTGTAAGTAAAGTTTATTTGTTATAGCACC